GCAATAACAATAAACGCAGCACTCGCTGTGTGCGCTTCTCGTTTAATCCGCATGCTGTTGCCTTGCAATTTCTGCCGACACACAGACACATTCATACATACATACATATATATAAATATTTATTAGTAGTAGTGGCAAAAGCGAAGTCCATTGTTGTCCAACGTCAAAGTGCGCTTGTGGCGCCATCTTGCGTGGAAAACAATTAAAAAGTTTGTGCGCTACACTTGAGGTGCGGCATTTAATTAGGTACATCAGCCGGCGAACTTAAAATGGCTAACAGGATTTTATTATGCACGAGTATTTACTTACTAATAGCTGGCAAAGTGCCCCATTTAATCGAAACAGAAAAACCGACTAAAGAAACAAAAAAAGGGCCAAATCATGGGTATGCGTGTTGACTGATACGCTTTCCATATACCCTTTATATAGTATAAGAGAATATATTATTAATATTTTTCTGTAGAAATACAACAGAAAATGTATATATATTTACCACTCTTAAGGCATCAAGTAGTATAGATATACAAATAACATTACAATGATATAATGCAGTCCAGAATTCTCAGCAGCTTATGTGGAAATACTAAAGAATTTGTCGAATACCTCCCTTAATAGAAACAATTTTCTTGTGTTTTCTTGGATTAGTATAGCTCTATACTTATTTTTTATTTATCTGTAGGGGATACTGAACAATTAATTGAGGAGTAATGTTTGGAATTATTTGACCAGAAACAGCATATGGTTCAGCTTTTTGGTCTGAATGCCAACGTCTGCTATTCGTTAGCCATTTTCCAATTTGGCTTATACAGCGGCGCAGCTGCAGCGATTAAATTGGCCATATTATTCGTATGTTTTACTTGAACTTTACTCTAACAACCCACTCCTCTCCGTTTCTCTCCCTCCCGCCCCCTCTCTCTCTCTCTCTCTCTCTTTTCTCCCCTTCCACTCAGAACAGCAGGAGCAGCGACCACAAACACCGCAACACAGCACAAAGCAGACAATCAGAGTGCAGAAATTATGAATTGCCAGCGGCCGTTGCTGGCCATTTAACTAGGCTATAACAGTGACGTCAACGGTGAAGATAACGGTAACGGTAGCCGCTTACAGTCAGGCTAAAATAAGAAATAAAATTCGTTTCATGTTTGCTTTTGAAGTTGGCAGACAAAAGAGATATACAAATAGCCAGAACAATATCAATGAAAACGAATAAGATATTATGAAAATGGTTGGAAATACGCACTTTATTAAAAACATTTTAACAGTTTTTTTTAAATTTAAAATATACTATAGCCGTAGTTACACTAAAGTCGTAGTAGTTCTAATTTCTTGAGTATTTTTTAATCTTTATTAATTGACAAATATTATTAAATCGACCATGATCCGAAATATAAATGTGCCTCTCTGTAAGTTAGTAAGCTGTTTATTTTTTTATAGGTAAAAATAAATACTTTTCGCACACTTTTCATGGGGTATAGGGTATTCAAGGGGTGTTGTTCTGTTATTCTTGGTTAACGTAAATAGCAATACCCACCTCAGCCCGCCTTATTTGTCGGTTTGTCGCGCCCACTTTCGCTTATAGCTAAAATATATGCAGTGTCACTCGCCCATCATTATTATTGTAGACAAAGCGTAAGCTCGTTAAAAGCTGCTCAAAAGCAAACCGGAAGCTCTCACTCAAATGCTCCTTTTCAGCAGTTACAAGTTGTAAGGCGATTCTGTGCTGAGCATGGAGTAGGGGCTGAACCTGGGAGTTGGGGAAGTTCTGGATTTTTCTGTTCAACCATATTTTTGTCTAAATCATGGTATGAACTCAGCTCGTGTATTTCTGTTTTATTTGTACAAACATTGCTTAAAATAACTTATTCAAATAATGTTTTGTGACCAATTTGACGTGCAACATTATTTTGCCTTTGAATTATACATTTGTACTAACGAATTAGCTATTATGTATCTGGCAACCTATTGAAAGCAGATCAAATGCAAGCAAAGCAATACTAGAATGTTCGCATAAATGCTTTGAAAACACCTGAAAGTGTAAAAGAGCGTTCTAAACCAATATTGGCCAAGTACTAAATACATCGAGTTCTTTAAGAATTTTCTTCTTCAAAATTCCTCCGCATTATGCTGAGGTCGATTTTATCATTACAAAATCGTTGAGCCATGTAAATGAAATTTATGCTTTCTGTTCTCGTCCCATTGTGTTTTAAATTGGACAAGGCGCATCTAGATTGAATACCAGGACCAGGACCATAACCAGGCAAGGGACCACAATGAATCCAGTGTACCACAAATCAAATGGAGTCTCCGACGAAACACAACTGTCCACAGATATGCACATTTGCGGGAAACCCGACATTATCAATCAGTTGTCGATGCAATTACGAATTGTTGTTGCTGTTGTTGCGGTTATTGTGGCTACGTTGCTACTGCTGTTTTTGCTGCTGCTACTGATATTGTTGTTGTCACGCATGTGGACACGCACGTAATACTGTTGCATTGTTGGGGCGTTAGCCAGACTCATGCGACAGAGTTTAATGGTGGCTTAATTAAGCGTTGCATGCTACGTGAGGTTGGGTGCAAAATAGCACAGAACAGCGAAAAACTTTCAACAGAGTTGAGCGACTCGCCAAAAGGGACAGACGAGGGACGCTGTCATGGCGCACGGACGCTGACATAGACACCCAGGTTGTCAATTGGAAGACATGCCAAGCCCTGCCATGCCAACCATTCACCCAGAAAAAAATCTACTTGATTATTAGAACTTCGCCATACTTCTGGCGCCGAAGGCAACTCACCCTATTATTCAGAAAATATATTTCTAAAATCGATGAATATTCTTTTCTCAATTTTAAGGTAAATTTTCCTAAAATGTATGTAAGCAAATGTATCTTATTTTCCGATTGTTTTTTTTTCCCATGTTTACAAGTAACTCTAAAATTATATTATTAATAAGCATTAGTACTTTAAGACTTCACATATACAACGATTTTAGGTAGATACTCAGTTACGGCGATTTCAACCCGATTCGAGTGATATCCAACTAAGCTACGTAGCGTCTAAATCAACAAATTTTATTAATAAGAGTCTGGATATACAATTCTTTTTTTTAGAAATGCATTTTTTGATAATAGAAAATATTTACAAAAGTAAAAAACACCGTCTTTTTTCTATTGTCAACGGATTTCCAAAATTTTATTTTCTTATATTTAGAAACTATTGCAAAAAACAAGAAAAACTTTGTAGTTTTCAGGACGATTTTCTAAAATTCATGGCGAGTTTTTTTCTGAGTGTGCCTACCCGCTGGCCAGTGCCAAAAAGAAAGAGACACACAGAGAAAGATAGAGAGGGATAGGAAGTGGGAATGGGAATGGAAAAGTGGGAGAGTGTGCGTGGGAGACTTTCGCTGATTTTCGCCTTGTGCCTTGGAGGTGTTAACGTGCGTGATTTGTTGGCACCGAGACGTGCGTAGGATACAAATCGTAATCCCTATGCGGCTGTCACTAAGAGAAGGCCAGGAATACGTTCCGGATACGGATACTCTGCGCCAGAGCCAGAGCTTCAGTTTGATTTTGAGTTTGAGTTGATGAGACGAAGATGGAAGATGCTGATGGCATTGGAGATTGAGATTGACATGGGCCATTAAGCAAACTAACAATGATCATAAATTCCACACTGTCTGTGCTCTAAGGACCACAACCCTAACTGGTCACCAAAATCAATTATTTATTAGGCAACATTCAGCCCAACTTCCTTTAATTCGGTTGCATATAACTTTTTTGTGGGTAGCTTGTGCTGTTCAGTGTGATCCCAAACTGGAGCTAAGCAGAATATACAAAAGTCAAGTAGGAACTTTTATGTCGTAAGCATTAGTCCGAATTATTAATACACTAAGCAATTTATAGTAAAAATACTATATATTCATGATATGCCTATTTATGTAATCTAAAAACATGTGCCACAGAACGGGGTAGGTGTAGCTAAGAAATACCGATCTTTGAAAAAGATTTTTAGTAATCTATCCTCCAAGTTTGTGTTTAAAATTGCGGTAGGTATAGGCTTTGTGTGCTGGAATGGACGTGGTCAATCTCTTAGAAAAGTTGTTATTAATATACTTTCTAAATTTTTTGGCATTAGCTTACAAATTGTGGAAGATATGCACATTTCAGATTTCTGGGTCCGAAGTTCCTGGGGGCGGAGGTTTGAAAAGATATGTGTTGATATTTGAAGGAGGTTACCAGCAAGTTACCTTAAAGGCGGCTACCAATAAAATACCTCCTAAATTTGACGACTCTAACTCAAAAAAAACTGCAAAACATAAACCACATTTCAAATTTTTGAGGGCAGGGGACCTGGTGCTGCGGATCTTTGAAGGACATCGCCAATAACCTACCAACCAAATTGAGTTTTCCCCAATCCATGCAATAAATGTTGGACCATTTTGCATTTAAATACGCCCAGAAATCTTTACCAATATATATTTTTATTTTTTTTTTAATTCAAATTTATTCTTACATTTGATTTTTTATTTAGTTTATTCAATTTTTTTCATTGTGTATTTTTTTTTTGTGTCTACTGACTTTAGTTGACAGTAACTAAATAAGTTCTTCGCACTTGGTTTGTTTACATTTTCGCAATGAATGTAAAATATTTGTATCGATTGGTATCGATACTTTTTGCATCTGCGTTACACACTGCCGTGATGAAAATCTGTAGGTTTGGTTTTATATTTTTTATACACATACATGTACATACATATGTTTACATGAGTGCCGATGCGCATTTGGTAGTGATTCAGGTAGAGCAATAATTGAATATTATGTTGCAAAGCAATACATCCAAATGTCTAACGCAATTTTCGCATTCGATGTCAACAATATCGAATATAGAAGTGTGAAGAATACATATTTATATTTATTTTAAATACATATGAATTTTACACTTACATTTTCCCACAAAATGTATGCTACAAGCGATAAGTAATCGATAACTTATCGGCGTCAAGTTTAAGCAATCGCCGAGCGCGCATTGCTGTTGACAACTTTGTTTGGTCTAAATGTAAACAAAAGAAAATAAATAAAACGCTCCACATGAAGTGCATCATGGAAGATGTTTCGAACAATAGAAAAACAAAGAATACAATTTCACCCCAAATCAGCACGCTCGGCAGTGTGCGGACAACGGGACGTGACAAGGTAAGTTTTCCGATTATGAGAACACCATATACACACTAATCTTATCTTCTTCTTGAAACAGAAACCGAAAGAACCTTACGATCCGTCCAACAGTTACATATCTCGAGGACCACGCAGCCACCATAACGTCAGCCTCGCAAAATTCGAATCGCATTGAAGGGATATGGATTGATAATGTTCCAGTACCAAGCGTGAAGCAGCGCCGATTTACCGATACATGCATGGGATGCGGCGGATGTGAGCCAAGGCGTGGCACTGGCTACAGAAGTAACTTTCTAAGCTGAAAGGCGTGCAATTTGAAATGTAAACACATTTTGGTCTTTTATACACGAGGGTTGGCTTAAATTTCAAGTGTACTTTTTGTTTTTTACAGGGCATTTTGAGTGCTTGCCGATGCAGTTTGCAGCTTTAATCAATTCACGCTAAAGATACAAGTGCGATTTATGCCGATATTGCCGCGTGACAAAGAAAATGGCGAGAATCAGCAGCCGATTACAACAGGATTACCCATGAAGGCCGTCTTTGCCTGGAGCACTAAAAAAGTATATGACTTTGTTGAGCAGTATTGTCCTCAGTACGCAGACATCTTTACGGATAACAAAATTGATGGCACTGCATTAATGGTGCTTTCACGCGGCGATATCATTAATCGTTTCGGTCTGGAGCTTGGAAAAGCCCTGGACATCTACGATATAGTCGTTGGCTTGCAGAATTCTACCAATGATTTTACCCTCGCTTGGTATGATTAGTTTCTGGCTTTCTTTTTTATTATGTTATCGTATCTTTATTATCATTCTGAAGAAGAAATGTTAGTTGAAGCTCATTAATTGGGACCAATGAAGATCCACACTATGCTTTCCCCATTCTTATTACACATCAAACATATATTTTAATGTTTATGTTTTACTAGTTGATGTACGTTAAGTAGAATCAATCTCGTTATTATTACAAATTATTCAAACGTTTAAGACCTGAACGGAAAAGAAGAGTGATAAACCTATAAGATAGGGATATGTACATATATAAATATAATTAATAAATAATTATTATGAAATAACGATGCAAGATCCCTTATGTCAATTACTAGGTGTAGTGAGAACCATAAAATACAAAATTTGTAGCTAGTTGATAATTGGTCTAATCATAATAATAAAACACTGCAAGCTGTTTTTAGCCTTATTCTACATTTTTTATATTTTATTCGACATTAGGAATTTCGTTTTTTTTTTTTCATTTGGACTGGCAGTCAACAATTTTATTTCCATGTTGTTGACCAGAGCCGAGGGGACTAAATATAATATATATATATATATATATATATATATATATGTAATATATACACAGTCATACATACTAGCGTATGTAGGAATGCAGACTGCTTCCAGTAGATATCAAAAGCAGTACAAATATCAAATTGAAGTACAGAAACAATCATCACACGGGCATCATCAAAAATAAAATAAAGAAAACACGAGCTATGACAATATAATACGATTGGCAAAATGAGCTTGCAGCGGATAACGAGCATGCAGGATGCGATTGTCTCAGACGCGCGGCAGTAGCTTCTCCTCATCGGTGGGAACAGTGTGTGTTGGCTTGGCGGCGGATCTTGAGGGATCGTAGCCGTAAAGGAATATTGATGCGATAACTAGCATTACGCCGGTACTGAACTGCAGCGTTAGATTAAAATTGAAAATATAGATGGATGCGATGCAGGAAATGATGATCGCCAGCGATGTGGCAAATCCCTTAAGTATATTGTCCGCATACTTGACAACGACGGCAACAATGAGGCCACCACCGGCTTGCAGCAGGACCAGATACCAAACGAACACATCGTAGCCATGGAAGAACCCATGGCTAGCGATGCTACTGGCATCGTTGATGAGGCAAGTCAACAGGCCGAACGGTATACTCAGCAGGCTCAGCTGTACGTTCCGCATCCACACAGAGATCTCGGCGCCCTTCAGTATCTTCTCGAAGTAGATGCCCGCGAAGCCAGATAGAAAACAGGCACCCAATGCCGCCCATAAGCCGAGCATACGATTCTGGGCGGGTGCCTGGCCAGCTATTGGTATTTTTTCTGTTGCCGCCATTGGAGCCGCAGCACTTCCACCACCACCCTCAGTCTGGGCCAGCTGCACCAGCACAATGCCCATGACGAGCAGCAATAGAGCGCCCCACTGTGTGTTGAAGAGCTTCCGCCGAAGAATGACAACGGCGAACATTGCTGTGGTCAGTATTTTGAGCTGATATGTCACCTGATAGGTGGCCGCATCCAAATGCGATGCAGACACGTACAGCAAATTATTTTGCACAATGTAGACCAGCGAGGGCACACACACTTTCAGTGTGTCCAGCGGATTGGCAATGATGGTCTTGTGCAACGAGCGTACAAATATCTGGGCATTCTTGCCCTCCTCATTAAAGACCAGCACCAGACACGTAATTAGCTTGACGAACTCAGCCATTAACACCGCTGAAACAACAACAACAACAAAATGTATGACAAATTGTTTAAACAATAAATCAGTTAACGCAAAATCATATATATACACACACACACACATATGCACGCACAGGAAGTACATCTGTACACACGTTGCTTATCAGCTGCGACTAATTTGTCGCAACTCTAATTGAAGTAAATTTTTTTTAAATTTTTATCAAAGTTATTACTAATTGCCCATTTGGTTGTGCCTCGATATGTGTGTGTGTATGTATTTGTTTACGAACAGCGCTTCTGCTTACGTTGCTGTCGCATCATTTGCGTTTATGCCTCACCTGTGGAGCTGAGAAAGATATCTCCGGGTCGGGTGCGAGCGTAGCGCATGCTGAGTCCCAAGATCGCATTCTGTAGGGTCAACGTTAACAGACTCACGTACTTGAGCGTATTGGCGTTCACTGTTTGTTTGGAAACTGACATTTTAGTAAGGTGGTCGTCAACATTGACTAATTATATTTATATGCACCTACCGTGTATATTCATTTTATGCTTGTTTATCAGAGAACCGGCAAAACGTGATTTAAACCAAATTTGTTTCACAGTTCAGTTCAAATAATAAAAAAACAAGAAGGGAATCGCCTCTTTTTGGCTGAGTAGCAATTGACATTAGCACTGTCCGCTGGCCTTTCGTGTGGCGTCTTCGTGGGCTTGCTGGCTATGAAGACTGCATTGGGACACGTAAACAAGCTTTCTAGCTCATATTGCGCGTACAGCTTTATCGTGCATGGTTATTTGCTGGCGTGACCAATCACTAACCATATGCTTTGAATATCGATAACGATTTCCCGACTGTGAAATCGAGTACAAATTATCTTACAACAAATTAGGCATCGATTGCATCTTGCTTCCGATAAAGCCAACGTTGCCTGTGCAATTTGTTATTTATATCGTTTATCTCGTCAATATTAACAAGAAAAAAACAGTCTTAAAATGAGAGAACAACCGTTAAGAGAAGTTACACAACTGATACATGCCATCGAAATGGGGTAAATATAAATGGACGGGCACATTTGCCCATTAATTTTTGTATTAACTACTAACAGGCAAATGTTATTGCAGCTTGGTGGAAGGCTCCTACAGCATCACAAACAAGACGCTGGACATTTTCAAATACATCATCATGAGCAAAAGCTGGCAAAGTGCCGAGTAAGTCGTGCCCAGTGCCACTAGCTTCAACATAATATCTCCGCATTCTTAATTCCGTAGAGCTCTCATGCAAATTGTGCGCGCCCAATCGCGCATCCTGCAGGCAGCACTGCCACAGGAGACCGTCACCTCCAACATAGCACGTCGCATACTGAAGATGACACGCGAGGAGTTTGATCTGTTGCAGGCAAAGGTACAGCACTTTGCGGACGATTCGCAAGCATCGCTATCGCTGCACAAGCTGGTCACGCAGACCAGCGAGAATTGCGTCAGCGTCGACTATTCATTGCCGCAACAGGGACTCCGGGAAGCACTGCTCGATCATTTACAGGAGGTCGAAACCGAGCTGGAGACCAGCTCTGAGAACATTAGTGTCCAAGCCGAGGAACACATTCACTCGTCCGAGATCATACTTACCCTAGGCCACTCGCGCAGTGTCGAAAACTTTCTGAAACGGGCCATCAAGAAACGACAGTATCTCACCATCATCGTAGCCGAGTGTGCACCATCCTGTCGGGTGAGTACGCAATACCGAATTTATATTAGTTTCAATTCGAATTTTACACATTCTCATTATATTATTATACGACAATTGCATTCATTCAATTAATAATTCATTCATACACATTTGGAGATTACATATCGAAATGATTTGACTTTCATTTTGAATGGCGTCTCTGATTGCTACTAGCTCAACCTTGCGGCCAACCTACAAATAACCTTTTCAACCTTTTCATCAACCCACAAGTTATACGCATGAGCGCAACCGAAATATATACATACATTCATACATATATGTTTATATCCGATGTTAATCAGTCTTTCTCTCTGCTGGCAGGGTCATAATCTGGCTGCCACTTTGGCCCAAGAGAAGAATGTGGAGATAATTGTAATCCCGGATGCGTCCATATTTGCAATGATGTCGCGCGTCAATAAGGTCATCATTGGCACACACAGCGTTCTGGCCAATGGTGGACTGCGTGCTGCATGTGGCGCCTATACAGTTGCCCTGGCTGCCAAGCACTACTCAGTGCCGGTCATTGTGTTGGCGCCCATGTACAAATTGTCGCCATTGCACTTGTGTGAGCAAGATGCATTTAATATGGTTGGCTGTGCAGAGGATGTCATTGCGTATGACTCGCTACCGGCACGGGATGCCAAAGTCTACAGTCCCATTTTTGACTATGTGCCACCAGAACTGGTTACACTCTTTATATCCAATACGTAGGTGCCTCCTAAATTGCTAGCTCTCAATCGTTTTTAATTTCATTTTGATTTTCATTCATTCTAGCGGCGGTCATGCTCCATCTTACGTTTATCGTCTGCTCTCCGAGCTCTATCATCCCGAGGATCTGGAGATCTAAAATAGTAAATGTGATGCAATAGAAAGTAAAATATATTTTGTGAATATTCAAAGGACTAGGCATCGATGACAACAACAATAAATTAGTCAATGTGCGCAATTCGGCCTTTAGTTTTGTTGCTTTCAATCATCGGCTACTGTATGTTTTTAAACAACTGAATGAAATCGGCCAGGCTGTCGGCATAGTAGTCTGGCTGCGCTTCAGGTGAAGCGGCAATCATCTGATCTTTGGTCTGGCTACCAGAGAGGACGAGCAATGACTGAAAGCCGCACATCTTGCCGAACTGTATATCCTGCACGAGCATGTCTCCCACAAAGAGGCATCGCTGAGGCGTATGTATATTGAACATTTCCTTGAGCATATCGCCCAGAATAGGTGCTGGTTTTCCAAGGAAGATTGCCTTGCGATTCGTATAGCGGCTGATGTGCTGCAAAAAGTCATAGAAGCCCGCCACATTGAGGTTCTCGGCCAGTGGCATAATAATATCGCTGCCACCGGCTATCAGCTTGCAGTTCTCATTCAACTGGAGATGACGTATAGCCTTGGCCAGTTCCACGTACGACATATCCAGGTTTATGTCAAAGAGAACAGCATCCACAGGTCTCTCAATGGCCAAATAGTTAACCAGTGTCGCTGTCGTCAAGTGCTCCTTGATTTGCTGCAATCACACATCGTTTCGATACACATTAACATCAAGCCAGGTATGTATTTTGAGTATATATCACACCCACCAGCGACTCATACTCTATGTTGTGCTTACGCAACATTTCATTGGCTTCCAGCGACATTAGCGAATAAACGCGTAATTCTGGCTGGTTCATATAGCTCAGATATCGCACAATACTTTTTGCCGGATGTACGATGTCATCGTCCTGCACATTGACGGCACCGATATGCTCAAATTTTTCCATATATTGTTCGCCCGTACGGAAACTATTGTTGGACACGAATTTGACACATTTGCCGGCGTTCTTAAGTGCATTAATTGCATCGCCGGTACCTGGTATCCAGCCAACAAGTAGCCAAATGACGCCATCACAATCGCTGATTACCGTATCGAAGGAGTCAACAAAGCTACGCTGCTCCGTCACGCTAAGATCGTGAAGTATATGCCGTGGAGCCATAACGTTAAACACCCGCTAGCAATGAAACTAAGACAGCAACTAACCGGCAACTGTTGTCCGTTAGCGTAAGACTGCCTATCGCCATGGACACGGTGGATGCTGCTGCGCGCGCACGCCAACATACGGACCTAACTGAAAGCCAACGCAGCCCTTTAACCTTCAGCGTAACATTGAAGCTCTACTTTTCAAGGGCGTAGCTAGCTTTTCGTTAAGGGGACCTGGCAGAATTACATTTTTTAAACAATTTTAATCTACCAATTGGATGGAAAATTTCGCGTAGGGACATGGCGAGCAGATACCGACCCCGCTTCTCTCTCCGGCTATGCGCCCTTTTCATTTACATAAGCAAACATATAAATAGATAAGATTTTGTGTGCACATTCCATGCATGAATAGGCTGGGGCATATCATGATAATCTCATCTCGACTTTGTTGAGTTGCGATTGTGTTATTGCATCTATAAACATGTTCGCGGAAGCTTTAAAATCTGCGTCAGCGTTATTAGTCTCGCAAAACAGCACATTTAAAGCAAGGTGCGGCCGAAACAAGCATGATTATTTTTATTTTGAATCTTGGTATGGTTCCACTGAAAACACTTGTTAACTCTACAAACTCACATCAGCATTTTTGAACATGTCCTTTGAATTTTCGTTTTCACCTGTTGCATATTCTATTTGTGTGCACGTGTGTGTTATGTGTCCATATTTTACCAGAGATGAGAACCTAAAAAGTCTATGAGGGAGTTGAGGTTGAAAACTTGTATCCTCCAAATTGTATAATCTGCACTATTGCCTTAAAATTGTAATTTCCAAAAAAAAAATGTAAATACCTTGTATGAAAGAAGTAATTTTATACCAAGGTTTCCTGAACAAGGATGATATTTAAGTTGTGGAATCCGGATAGGGTTAGACATACATGGCACCCTTTCTGGTACAATATAAGTGCACAAATTTAGAATATTCGTTTACAGCCAGCCGCCAAACAGAAAACACCTAAATAACATTTGACTAAAATGTGCAAAACTGTAAATTTCCGTCTACAAGCGATAGCCATTCTAACTTACTCTAATTTTAATTATATCATTTAAATAGTCATAGGCCAATGAATGTTCAGATTATAATTTATTCTGTTAGCAACTTCTTGAAGTAATTTATACTTTCAAAAGCTTCGAAAGTGTTCATTGCATTTCCTGAAAACTGTAAAATGTTGTTGGAATATATGTTCATTTGTTTATTTATCCTTCAAATTGTGGTTGCCAATTCAAATTTCTAGTGCCAATCAAACAAGTTGGTGGTGCATTGATTTGAATTATCTTATTATTTTGGTTGTTTGAAAAACTCATCTGAAGTTTTTAGTGTTATACTTCCAATCGAATGGTATGTCAAACCCAATGCCACCACCACCCCTCCCCTGTGTGCACCCTTTCCCACATATACCTACACCAACCTATACACGAATATGTATTCAGTCGTATGTGTTGTGTTAACCACGTAGACGGCAAGTAAGCCGTGCTAGACATCTTGACATTGACAATGATTTCAACGGTTCTTTTCAACTGGCCTTGTTTTGGGTCCGAACAAATGCAGCAATTGTAGGTGGGTGGATGGGTGGTTGGTTGGTTGGTTGGTCGGTTTGGTTGGTTGGTTGTGTTAAAAATGCGAGAGAGAACCGCTTTTGACGAAAGCGAAGGTAAACGTGGCAAATTGACAATGGCAATAATTGGAATTCAGTTTCACTGTAACACACATCTATCTGTACATATGTGGGGCAAATGTGTCGTAGTTGTGTCCGAAAGGTAATTGAAAAGAGAACGTAGTCGGAGCTGTTTGACTACATAGCATGAGCTACTAACTAAGCAAATCGACGTGCATTTCACACTGGACACGCAGAAAACTTATATATATATATATCTATATGTATATATAAATAAATAAATATATGTATATTTATTTATGTATGTACATGCATGTATATAGGTAGATATATATACAGGTATATATATATATATGCAGGTATATATATCAAAAATTCAAATCGATTGGCAGCCTAGTTAGGCGGTTCTGATAAGATAGAAGACGGCGCAACACACACACACACATACAACAAAAACAAGCGATACCTTTGTATATAAATATGTATATAGTAAAAACACACACTTAACCGGGGCTGTGGCATCGAGAGCTTTGCTGTGTCCCAAGAACTAGTCGCGATTACACAATTATTTGGCAGCAAGCAGGCAGGAAACATGAGCAGCGCCGACCAAGACACCACTGTTATCACTGCCAGCAATGGCCATGCGCAGGAGAACGGTAAAAGCAACACCAACAGCAGCAGCAACAGCTCCGCCAGCAACTCCGCCGCCTCCACAACGACGACAACAACAACAGAGACGACGACAACGACATCAAGCGGCATTCGCGACAATACCGAGCAGCTCCAAATTATGGGTCAGCTCAAGACCATTGAGCACATCAATGAGCAGCGACGCATCTTTTTGAAGAGCACCATCAACGAGATCAAAGAGGAGAACAGCAACGAAATGGAAGCGAATGCGGATGCGGATGCGGATGGGGAAACGGTAAAGCCGCTAGGAAAACTTGCGCCGCCCAAGAGTTTGCCGCTGAATGTGAAATATGCAACGTTGCCATCGATAATCACATCGGCAACGGTGACATCACCAACGTCGCCACCACCAAAACCACCAATGCTTAGCCGTACACGTAGCACTGGCTCCGGTGATGGACGTACACCACTAACGAACGGTGATTCAACACTGTTGCTGCGTTCCAACATTGTCACGGATACAAATAAAGCGCCAGCTACAACAACAACAACAACAGCAGCAGCAGCAGCCGACAAAGCAACTACAACAACAACTACAATAACAACAACAGAGTCAACGGATCAAGTACAGCAGCCAGCAGCGACCGTATCGGCCAAACACTATGAGAGCCTGATCGAGGAGCTGCGTTGTCCTGGCTGTGCTGGGCCCATGAAGGCACCAGTGCTGCTCTGCAAGAGCGGACACAGTATTTGTGAGCAGTGCACCCGCATTCTGCTCATGTGTCCGCTGTGTAAGGTATGTCATAAACACACACACACACACACACACAAATGCCGACACACAGAGACACACAAACACACACACATGCATACATTTGTAGATAAAGTTGTACATAGATATAGATCTAGATTCTCTAGACCGACGCCTCTCTCTTAGTTTAGTGTTGACGTCAGTGTTAGGTAAGCAATATCGAGCACGATCTTGCCATCGCTTCCTTATCGTCAGGCAATGACGTGCTGCCAGCAAGTACAGTGGAACCTCACTTACCTTTGACAGTGCTAAATGCTGCATCATTTTTTGTCACTACAAATTCTTTATGCAGTCGCTTTATTTAAAAATTATTTTACTATAATATTGAAATGAATTCTCCTTTGGCCACATTGAAAATGTTAATTTTTTGTATGAAATTAAAAATCTACAAAATTTAAAAAAAAAATAAAAAACATGTTTATGGTATACATTTAAATGTGGCAAAGTATTAACCAAAAATGCTAACCAAACATATAAGAAATAAATACATTACAAAGCCAACATTTTGTTGAAAAATACATGGCAATTTGTCATATATAAATTGTGGCTTCGAGAAGAACTAGAAAGACACTTTTTAATTTATTTGAAAATTCGCGCAAGACGAGTTCATACAAAACTTTTTTCTCTTTGGGACAACAACGAATTTCCCAAAGTTTATAGTTAGCTTTAACATATCAGCATCAAATTCTATATCGTGGTTTATGTTCCATTCATAGCGATTTCAGTAATCGAATTTCACTTGTAAATGTTTCTCCACTTTAAGCTATATTTTGTTGATTGCATTTCATATATATAATTATAATCCTTACATTGATTTCTGTTTTGTTTTTTTTTTTTTTATTGGTAAATAATAATACAATTCTATTAATTGCAGGAGGGATTCACTAATTCGCGTTCGTTGACTATTGAAGCATTGTGCGCCAAGGCGCATTTTGGATGCAGTCATGCGGCAGGCGGGTGTGCGGTGAGGATGCCGGTGGCGTTGTTGCCGTGGCACGAGCAGCAGTGCATCTATAAGCCGATGAAATGCTTCATGGGACGCGTCTGGGGTGATTGCAAATGGCACGGCCGCGAAGTGCAATGGAAGCAACATCTGGAGGAGGAGCACACGGACAAGCTATTTCAATCGAATACGGCGGATCTGGAATGGAATATGGGTGTGCGACGTAAGCCCCTCACTGGCTACTATGTGTTCGAGGCGCACGACGAATTGTTCAACTTTTATGAGATCTACGAAAAGCAACAGGTGCTATTCACCATGACGTGCACATCGAATCGACGCGAGAGCAAGTACAAGTATGCCTACGAGGTGACGCTACTGCAGCCGGACAACGAGGCGCTATTGTTGACCCAAAAGTTTCCCGTACATAGTGAATATGATAGGGATATACTGATGGACGGCACCTGTGTCAACATTAGCCTGTCCGAATTGGCACGATTCGTGACCGACGATAAGGTAAGTGTGAATGATGATGCAGTAATGTCAAGTCGAATCACTCTTGCCATCATTTAATCAACAGATGCTGCATTATCGGGTGACCGTTACGGCGGTTAACTCGCCACGCCGCTTGAAGCCGTCGCGGCAGAGTCTACCAGCACTGCCCCTCGATTATCAGCAGGTGAGGAATGTGCCAATGGGTACCAATGGCAAGAGTGTGCCCGCCAGCATGATTATAACGCGAACGTACAAGGAGGCGATCGGTGAGGTGTCTGCATCATCATCATCAGTGACGGCAACCACACCGGATTCCGAGGAGGGCAATGTCCTGGAGTTGGAACGGAAGTGGGGCACACCCCAGTTACACTTCAATCGCAAGTATTTACGAAATGCGCTTGGTGAGGATGCCAGCAGCAATGCTGAACTGAAGGTGGACGAACTGCGACCGCTGCACGAGACGCGCTCGAGCGCAAGTGCCAATGAGGATAAGCTATCTCTGTGCAGCAACAGCACCAGCTATACCAAAAAGGTATCCGACACGCTGCGTCGAAGTTTCCGCGCGCTCCGATCTGATCTAGTCGAGATGCGCCCATTTGCCAAAAAGAAGTCGACCGCGAAGAAGCCAGTAGCAACAGCAGCAGCAGAAACAACAAATACTGCATGCTAAAATATGTAAAGGATTTTCCACACATATAGGATATTTAACTTTGTCTTGAGGCCAAATTGTAGAATTGTGATCAAATCTTTTGTTTCGGACTAAAACCTACATTTTTTTTTTCTTTTCTAAATTTCACGTTTGCTGAATTTATCCAATCTGTACTTATGTGTATATAAAAAACACAAAACAAAATACTCCAATGAATACATAGAGTTTGTAATAAATTCCAAGTTCAGACTGATCCAAACTATTCGATCTTATGCTTTATAGCTGCATATGTTTGGCAATACTTTCAAGAGGACCACAATAAAATAAAGGGAGAAAAAATGGTACATTTCAATGAAATATATTCTTGTACATGCATTCATAAATATCTTCGGCACTGCAGTCTGAAGAGTTCTTACACACTAGGTTTTTTATACTTTGATACCGACGGTGTTTTTGTTTTGGGAAATGCCCGTCATGCTGACCGTCTGTCTGTCCGTCTCTATGAACGCATCTTTTTTCGACACCCTTAGAGATAGGGACTTGAAACAAAGTGTACAAATTTGACTGCTACGTCCATTAGGGGCTTGAAAATCGATAAAATCGATTTTCGCAAATCTATAAAGCCACATACATATCTCCCAGAACTTTAAGGCTAAAGTTACCAAATTTGGTTGGTAGGTTGTTGGCGATGTCCTTCAAGATCGGCATATGCCATGCCCACCACCGCCGACCCCAGGCCCCAACCCGTAAAAATTTTAAATGACCATATCACTTAAACTTCGGAGAAACATTACGTTATCGCAAACTTGGACAGTATTTATTGGGTACACCCGCCCTGTTCTTTGCCACCGGTTATCAGCTTCAATTACGTATGGTATCAAAGTATTTCGCAGTCGGTTACGCCCGACTGCAGCGTTCTCTCTTGTTTGGTAGTTTTTTATACTTTGAAGCCGACGCAAACTGTATGACTTTTGACCAGATCAATATTGGTTAATTTGCATTGGTGAATTTCTAATTTTAAGCTAACCGAATCTAAGCTATGCGATTAATGTACGATCATCAAATTAGGCCACAATTTGAAAGTAGCTTCTGTGCTACAACAGACCCTGCATTTCGTTCATGAACTGCAGGTAGGCATCGTCTTTAGTGGGTGGCTTGTGCGCTTCCGGCGGCGCATGGACGCCCCGGTCACCCCCATGAGCATCATGCGCGCCTGCCAAATGCTTGGTCCTCGCCGTTCGTCGCTGATCCTCGCGCTTTACCCTCAACGTAGAGGGTACAAATCGCGTAACGTCTGCGCTTAGATTCCTATAGAAAGATAAGACAATAAATGATCAGGTTCGCAAAAATGGATTCGAGTCGAGTGTACCTTATTTGTGGCTTTGCCGTAATTGTGGTGACACCTTTGCCCGGTTCTTTGAGTGGCGGCGCACTCACGTTGCCGTGCTTGACATGATGACCACCCATACGTGGCGGTAATCCAGGTGGCGGCCCAGGAGGCATCCGTATGCCCATACGCGGCATTGGCCCAAGAACATGTGGTGGTCGTGAGCCTGGCGGTGGACCAGGCGGCATACGCAGGCCAAAGCCAGGTAGACCCGGTCCAGGTGGTCGCATGGGTGGCGGTCTAAACATTACACTTGGCGGCGGCGCAATGCCTCGCATATGCGGCAATTGCGGCAGCTGCGGCGGCGCTGGCGCACTTGGCGGTAACGGTATGGCAGGCATTGTTGGCGCCGTCGGCGGTGCGGGCACCGATGTCGTTCCCGGCGGAACTGGCATTGCCTTAGCTGTTGTCTCTTTGGTTGTAATGATTGGTGACGGTTTTTCATCGCCATCGGAGCCCATGTCATCATCCGCATCGTCGTCATCGTCGTTGTCTTCGTCGTCACTGGTAATGCTGCTGCTACTGTGGCTGCTGGCACGACGGCGGCTTGGAGGTGATTTGCTGTCTGAGGCGCTATCATGTCTGTCATCTGGGTCATCCGATTGCTGTTCCTTGTCGTGCTCCGTGTCGCTCTGTAGTTTGCGATGCTTACGCTTGTGCACATGCTCCATTTCCTTCATGAAGTCGTCGATGTTCTGCATGCGCTGCTGCAGCTTGGGACTTGTGACCGTCGACTCATCGCCTTCGTAGTCGCTGTTGCCTTCGGCATCCGAGTTAAGCTCAGACATGGCAAACAGATCTGGTGGTGGACCTGGCGGCACACCCAGCCAATCCTTGTCATCATCATCCTTGGCTTTTTCCGTCTGTACATCACCGTTGCCGCCGCTACCTTCACTATTTTTGGTTACACCTGGCGGTGCACCAGGTGCAAATGGCAGCAAAGCTAGCGTTATGGGCGGCGGTGGCATACGGATGCCGCTAGATGGAAAGACGATGTTGCTGTTGCTGCTGGTACTATTGCTATTATTGGCACTATTGGCTGTATTTCCACCGGTTGAACTGGCATTCGCTGCTGTCACCGGCGCTGGCAGTGGTATCTCATCAATCTGTACGCTCTGGGCATGCTTCACGCTCTCATAATACTGCTGCTTTTTCAGGCGCTTCTTCTCGTAGTCAACCTCCTTGCGCTTCAGTTCTACCCAGTGTTCGGGCTCATCGTTATGCTATCCACAAAAAAATAAAATAAACAAATAAGACTCCGAATTACCCACTAATCTGTTATTCACACTTACATAGAGTCGCATGACGCGATCGAAGGTTTCTTTAAGCTTCTTGCGCTTGTCGCGCAGCACTTTTTCGTTAAGTGGCGATGGCTGCAGCACATTATACTCTGGGGAGGAGACAAAAGTGATGCACATCATCATCATGATTGGGTAGATTGTCAAAAATTAAATTAGAGTGGTGGTGCCACTTACCCATCTCGTCTATCTTCTCCATCTCTTCGAGAATCTGTGAGGGATCTTTGTTCTTCAATACGGCAGCCCGAACCATTTGGCGCTGTCGCTTGTTCTTTTTTAGCTCCTTTTTGCGCGCCTCCTTGCCTGGATGTAGGTGGATATATAGTGTATAGTGAATAGTTTACCTGGCGATAGGTGCTACTTACGGGCTTGGTCTGTTGGATTCATATATTTGCCACTTTTAGTGGTGTTTATGGAGCGTCGTCCCATCCTGATGGTTGTGTGTTGCTTGATTCAACGTTTATCAATGTTTATATGCTTGACTACAAAAATACAAGTACTGCAAGAAACACAACGCACAATGCGAAGCCGATAATATCGATAAGAAAGTCGATAATGAGTACAAAATAATACTCACGAGCGAACCAAAAAAACAAAACAGTCTGGCAGCACTGCAGTTAAATAGTGCCGGCATCTTTGTGAAGAGAGGACATTAAAAGCATAAAAATGTCTCAAGAAATTCCGCTTAACGATAGCTTTGTAGACGCATTTAACACTCTCAATTTAAGCAATCAACCGAAACTGAATTGCAGCAATTATGGCACGAGTACAGTGAGTATTTGAAAAGCAAGACGAAAGCAGTTCGTGTCGGCTCAAAAGCAACAGTTCAAACTATGTGCACACACACAGATCCAAGAGCCAAACGGCACTCACGATCTCACGTGCAGAATGCCCCAAACAGCAGGTGATACGGACAATAGTGACGACACGGATACGGACTCTGACGCGATTGTCGTTGTGGATTCTTCATGCGCCTCGTCAGATTTTAGCTTCGTGCGTGTATCAAGTGCAAGCATAATCTCCTCAACATCACTGATTGGATCGGAGTGTCTGAGTATCTCATATACTGATACTATACCAGAAACAGAAAGCGATATCGACATCAATGAAAATAGTAGGTTGAGTCTTACCAACACATCAATAACAATCTCAGTGTAAACAAAACATAATTAGATCATAAATAATTATTCCCGTAATACAAACTAATATATCCCAATATTCCATTATAAATAGCTGATAGCTCTGATAGCATCATGGATAATCTTGTAAATACTCCAATGAAGCGCAAGCATGACGGCTACCCAATCACCACGAGGAACCAATGTGAGTACCCCCTAATCATAAATTATAAACACCTTCATGACGTTCCTATATAGATTTGCGGACGGATGCGTCGCCGTTGCCAAGCTGTAATGTGATAACCACACGCAGCGGACGCGCTGTGCGCAAGCGAATCGACCATAAGTTTGACTATTCGTCGGAACAGCACGACGATGACACGGATGATTCGAATGATCCTGATTTTGCCGATCATGTGGATGCTAGTAATGATGATGACGATAATGACAATGATGATGATGAGGATTATGTCGAAGAAAATGACGACGACTACAGCCAGCAGGAGCAAAAAGAGTCAGGGCGCAGCCGGCGACGCATTTCCATGCACAGCAGCTGCTGTAGCAGCAGTGACGAAAGCAGCACCATGCTCGAAACAGACACAATCATATATCTGGATTTGATGCAACCAGTGGCCATTGTTAACACTGAGCCAATGGCTGATGCGGACGTCGAGCATGATACTGAGCTGAAGACGCGGCTGCAAAAATTTCTGGGTCTTGTTGCACCGCAACGCCGTCTTTACAATCCAATGGATAACTATGACCTTGATGACAATCAGATGGATGAGAAGGAGCGTTCGCCCGTGCAGCGCAGTCGCCTCTGGTCTTTAACTACCAGCAACGATCAGCTTCCCTCGCCACAGGCAAAATCGTTGGCGAGACCGTTGAGTCGTCATCCCAAATCTCCCAGATCGGAAATAACGAACGATATGAAAATGCTGCTAATTGACCATATGGTTCAGCGTGTCAATGCAAACTATTTCGAAAGTCAAACGCCTCAACATATCAAGGAGCCCATCGATCTGAGTGGTCTGCCCAGCGTGGAACATCGTGAACAAATTTGTCAAAAGCACAAGAAAATCTGTAGTTCAACTTTGCCCCATAGTGGATTATACGGCTTCGTCGATTCGCTGAAATGTGAGTACTTTTTACCAATTCAAATTTTAATCCCTTATTAAACTTGAATGAAGCAATTTAAGAAGCTAAACTTTTTAGCTGCTCGAAATAATGCTCCACGTTTGTTTAACTTGAACAGAATGTATAAAAATATTTAAAAGCTATAGACATGGATTATATTTCGTGGTATAAATAATAAATCAACACCTATAATATCACTATTAAGTAAGATGCAAGTATTCATCACTCAAATCCAAATCACACTCTTAAGTTATGTATGTAGCATATAGTAGGAGTAAAAGAGATAGAGCAATTGCATAAAAAAGAGCGAGAGATTCAAAAATAAATTGTAACGAAAATTGACCAATTGGGAAATGTGTATAAATGAATGAAACTTGTTCAAAATTAATATTAGACTATTAAATAGATATCCACAGATTTCATATCACTTACTTTTTTGTGGTTGCCGTATTCGCATCTTGAAAGTCTATAATGATCACAATTGTTATATTTCTGTTGCAGCAACAACGCCACTGAATATGTGTCATCCACTTGCATTAAACTTCCGGAAAAGTGAGTTCGAGACGTGCAAGGCGCAGCTAGCCAAGACCTTGTTCCACACGCTCAACCACACGATCTTCCATTGTGGCCTGCGTCTGAGGATTGCCTGGGAGTCCAGCATGAGCACGCCCAGCGCCCTTACGCATCGCATTGAAGCTGGTGGACAGCGTGTCTCCAGCATTGTTCTATCGCAGAACATCAAACAGTCAGGATTAATGGTTAAGGCCCTGCTGCACGAAATGTGCCATGCGGCTGCCTTTACCTACCACGGCGAGATAGGACACGGCGACAACTGTCGCAAGTGGTGAGTGTTCGCTGTTTAAACTACAGTTTTGTAATTGCCATAAAACACTATCAAATTCATTAAAGTAGCTATATAACAAACATATAGATATGTAATAAACAAATTGTCTGTGAATGTTGCACATTCTGATTGCGCCAATCAGTATATTATATATATCATGTAAAATGAGACATACAGTTAAATCATTTTGTACATAAATATAAAGATGCACATATAGATCAAAATGTGTACAAATTTCAGATATCTATTACTTTATATTTGTATTTAAATACATTCGTGTGTTATAATAGTTCATTAAACCAACTCTATTCTTTTACACCTTTTACGCAGACGTTTTTTTCCCCGTCAAGTAAATTGTTCTACAGCATTGCTTAAAACTAACTAACTGACTGACTGACGACACACAATATATGTTTATACTATACACTTGTGAACAATCATATTTTATTGCAGGGCTTATCGCGCCAAATCCGTGCTGCCTGAACTGCCTGAAATTGGTGACTGTAATGCTAGCTACAAGTACACTTGTCTTCTCTGCCGTGGACGCTCCTTTGGCAATATCAAGTTTGAACACGAGGCGTCACAGCTTCGCTGTCACTATTGCCAGTTTGAGGTGAATGTGGAACCATGCAGTGACGAAGATATCCATAACCTGTCTCTCACCGACCAGCTGATTACGCCCTATAAGCAGTTCATTCGCACGAACTACGTCAAGTGCGAGCAGGGCAGCCACAGCGCCAAGATGCGAGTCCTTAACGTGTTGTACAAGGAGCAGCAGCATCAGACGTCTACGAGCTAATCCTAAAGGAAGCAGCTTTATTCTATATAATCTATAAATACAATGTAATTTTAAATAAATATGCGTTAATAAGTCCAATTGTCACAAAACAAATCAACGTTTCTGCATAAGATTTTTTTTAAACAGCGGAGGGAGGAATTGAATACTATTACAAAACATCTAGATTGGCAAATTTCGTTGTAAACAAATTACAATAAGTTGAAAATGTGATGGAATGTTTTCTGTTAATCAAGATCGATTGTATAGCAAAAGTACGAATTAAGCACAGACTTTTGCTCCAGCAGAATATCATAATTCCATCACTTAAAGGTCTGTGGTAACATGGACTGAATATAAAATCAACACAAAACTGTAAGTCGAATGACTCTGAGATAAACAAAAAAAAAATAGAATTTGAGTTGAAATATCGAAGCAATTTCGATGAACGATGAACGATGAACGCTTGTTTTGTTTGTTATATGAATATAGACTTGGTTGATCTCGTTTGCAATCATTTGAAGCAATCGAGCATTTCGATTAGTGCTTTCAATGTGCATTCTTTCAATTGTTTATTTGACTTTCGTTTGATTCCAAAAGTAGTTTGTGCGTTTTATGTAGTTTAGTTGTACAATTTCTAGTTGTACAGGTATTTTATTTTCGTGTGCTGCAAATGAGTATTTATATATATAAAAAAAAACGGCAAAAAATCCAATTTTATTAATATTTTGTTTTTTAAATCGGCATACAAATTTTGCTCTGATATATGCTCATCTTTATTGTAATTCTCTTATTGTGCAGTTTTTTTAAACAAATTGTGGGACAAATTGTGCACATGGTAAAGATCTTTATCAGCATTCTGAGCAAGCCATGCATCAACCAGAGCAACAGCTGTTGTCAGAGCAAAAAGATGAGGATGCAAATGTAAAGATCACAACACACCATTTAGATGGTGTCACATATAAATATGTGACACCGACATCTGTAGATGCCGGTCTTGATTTCCTAGCCGCAAGCATTAAAACCAAAGATTTCAACACTGTCCGCATTGCAATCGCCTGCGAACAGTCGGATGAAGCAGCCCATCTAATGCAGCAGTTGGGGAAACGCAGCGTCGCCAGCCTTTTGGTCAACGAGTCCAATATAACAACGATAGGAACATGCGTCGGCCTATGGACAAGCGGCGTAAGTAGTCAAAATCTTGCTTTAATGTTTTTTTTTTTATTTAGTTTTATTTTTTTATAATTAATCACAAAACATAGATAGATTGATTCTCTTCGTTCTTTTTGAAATATTTTGTATTTTGAATGTATAATGATAATTTAATATTTGTACATTTGTATGCATATTTCATTTCATATAATCGCTCAGTGCTGGCTGAGATCACAATATTATATGTTGAATTCAATAACTATTTCTGCAAAAGTATTCATTTGCGTACACCCGGAAGATAACAATTCATACCTGCGTTCTTCTACCCCTGGCAGTTGATCAATCCCGTGCTGATTGTATACGATAATGTGCTGCAGCCACTAGCGGAGTTGGGTAAAATCAACTGTGTGAACTACTTGATACATTCTTCACAGACGTTGCCACACGTGTTCCAAAAGCGCATCCAAGCGCTTACTTCGTTCCCAGGTAACAATACACTGGTGCTGGTCATGATGTGCTCAATAGCGAACCAAACGACAAAAAATCCGACAAGAGCGGTACCATCTGAAGTAGCAACAAAAGCAACATTGTGTCCAATGCCGACTGGAAACCCCTTACCTGACCTGGGGCAAATAGCCAAAATCAAACCTACTGTTGTTAACGACATAAAGGAAACAAGAAAATTGGTCACAAGCGAACAGTTGGAGACGGGCGCTGACAATGTCCACACATATAATAACAACGGACTTCTTGCCTGCAGCCGGAAGGAACAATCACTCTGTCGTAAAATTGATGATGTGGTCGCCATTGAGCCACATATAAGGAATGCGATGAAGAAGTTGTCCATTGAGCACGCGAAAAACATACAGCGCTATGCTTGGTCACATACTGCTGCTGGTCGCTCCCTGTGCGTCATCGGCAATGAGATGATTGGCAAAACCTGGTGCTATTTGCCGTCGTTGTGCCAGCGGGTCTATAAGGAGGCGTTCCGGCTTAACACTGATGACAGCAGCAACTTTGCTCCCAGTAGCATAATCATCTGTGCAAATGCTAAACAAGGCGAGCAGATTCATCAGTGGTGCATGAAACTGTTGGACTGCTGCGTTATAAAGCTCTTCGATCGAAGCAATTTGAGCATGGTCGACGCGCGTCTGAGAAGTCCCAGCGACATCCTCATTACCAATGTTGAGGTGCTGTTGCAACTAATCAATTTGAAATCCATCCTTAACCCACTTGCATTACGATGTGTGGCCTTTGATAATTTTGATTTGATCTGGCGTTCTAGCCGAATGGATTGTGAAAAGGTAATGCTTTGGCTTTTGGATTTACTTCGCTTCGAGGCTGGCCATGCCCAGCTGTTCATCGTTGGGCGCCTATGGAGCGATAAACTGATGCGTCGTCTACTATCAAGATTGCCAGATTTGCTGCTCCTGTTCGAAGATGCATTGGAGGCGACGGCTTACAGTGGCATAAAGCTGGAACTGCTGTTGACCAGCCCGAAACATATTGAGCAGGATATGCTGAAATTGTTGCAGGCAAAGAACCTAAAAGAGGAGCGAGTGGTTCTCGTATGCTCCGGGAAAGCAGATGCACTCACACTACACAAACAACTCCTTGCCTCAAATATCGATACTTTAGCTGTAGCCCAGTTAGGTAGTGGTGCAGAGCTACTACTTAGCAAATGGTCAAAGGAACGCACGGCCAGTGTTCTACTTGTCGTCGATGATGTGCTACGCCTTTTGTGTGATGTGAAAGTTGATTGTTTGCTGCATTTCAAATTTCCAAGCTTTTGGCAACGGTTCAAGGCACGCTACACCATCTTTTATGGCAATAATCATTCGCAACCAAACTCCGGCAATGCCACATCTACAATACCCGTTTGCCTGCAGGATGTTGAACAAATTTGGCTAATCTGTGATTTTATGTTCAAGCACGAACGATTGCCACCCGACTTCTGGCTGTCAATGCTGACATCGTCTCGAAAGCAACTCGAAGATCGGACACCGCGGCTCAAGCAGGCAGCATGCCACCAGCTATTGCGCTACGGTAACTGCTACCGTCACACGTGCCAGTATCGGCATTTCCTCTGGGATAATGAGCCAAGACCGCTGGAAGACTATCCTAAAAAGAGCTTAATAAGTTTCCATTTGCTAATGGTAAGTTAATAATATCCATGCAGTGATCACTGATATTGATATACATATTTGTGATTAAGACATAGCCTAACCCTTCTGGCGCTTCCGGCTTCTGTTTTCCGTTTAATTAAAGAAAAAAGATCGTAAAATCGTTGTCTTTTTACAGCTGTTAGAGTTCTTTAAATAAAATATGTTCACAACTTATTACTGAAACTGAAACAAAGTATTCAAACTTTTAATAGATGCCTACAATTAGTTATAATTTCATCATTATACAAAATTAATGTAAATGTATTTATTTTTACAGAGCTTTTCGCCATCGCAACTTAGTGTACGGTCAACTAAATTCAAGGTCACCAAATATTTTCTTAATATACCTGTTACCGAGCTGGGCGAAAGAATTCAGTTGCACTATGAGCAGTCGAAGAACCAACGGCGGCATCTAGATCCCAAGCCTGGTGACTTGTGCGTGGTGAAACATAACAAGCTGTATCAACGTGTGGTGGTGTTAGAAGTGGGTGATCTAAATCGCGTTACAATCAAACAACTGGATGCGGGCTCTGATCTGGTGTTGATAGGTAAATCGGATTTGCTCGAATGCGAGGAGCAATTTACAAACACTGCCTGGGAGGCCAACGATCTGCGTATCACTGGACTGACACCCTTCAATTTGGAGCGCCTGTGGTCAGAGGAGGCAAAAAGACTGGTACGCAACCAATTCTTCTATCGTCAGTTGGGAAAGCCATGTCGTGTGTTTACTGCCATTGTCGATTTTGGCTTTAACTCGACGATTTTCGTGGATAATGTATACGACGAGAAAGGCAATGACTTAAAAAGTTTTGTACTTCAACACATTCTGTCGTACATGGATGAGCATGTGGAAATGCGCTTGAAAGAATTAATTAACACGTGCAAACCGTTTCCTGAAAGTGCCAAAGAGCCAAGCGATGAGGAAGAGGAGCAGCATTCCACATACTCGACTGCCAACTAATTAAGAAGATGCTCACGCATAGATAACATTTTATATTGTACTCCTCCAAAGATTAAGCCAAATATAATTTTACTTAAGGCGACGAGGAGATTTTTGTGAAATACACACGCATTAATTCGTTCATTGCTTTAATAATAATCATATTTTTTTATTATTTAATGTATTTAATGACTTTAAATCTTGGATGCGCAGGTACCACACTTATAATTATTATTCTGTTATTATTCCTGCAGCTTGTACAGCACAGATCACATACGTATATACATATAAAGAATGTTAGATTTGATATGAATACACATATGATATGCAATTAATTCATTACTGAATTCAGTTCTAATCATCGATTTCATCATTCGGAAAATGGACAATTTCCATTTTGAAGATTTTTTTCGATCACTTGATGTCCAATGAAGAAGCCGAACTAAATTCCACCAAAAAGATATCCATAGGATGTATCTTGCAGACTCGATGAATTAAACGCAAAATGTCACAAAAGAGATTAACATTTTATGTTTCTGCAAATTTTATTTAAATGTTTATAGTCGCGTGTGATTCTTCCAACCGCACATACAGTACATCTAGACAATTTAATTTGGTTTTAAACAAATTACAAAAAGTAGCAAATGTGATGGAACGTACATATGAATGGATTAAGCACAGATTGTTGCAATTACGACATCATGCCCTTGCTGCGCTTGAAGGCGGCACCAGCCTTGCGATTGTGATTGGCGCGCGACGATTTGTGCGCTTCCTTTTGGCTGCGATTGCGTGTGGTTTGCTGGGTCTGACCCTGTCCCTTGGGCGCGCCCTCCACATTGGCCTGGGCCCGCTGGCCGTACTTGGTCATTTGGCGTTGTTGATAGCGTGCGCGTGTTATTTCTGGATTCTCACAGAAGTCGTTGCGTTTGGTGTTTGTGTTTGCATTTTGGCTACCTTTGCGCTCATCATCGCCACCCGCCATCTCGTAATCATCATCCTGATCATCTTCGGATGCATCCTGCGCTTCGTACGCACTGCTAGCAGCCGATGCCTGCTGCAGCTTGGCACGCAGCAAGCTCTGAACCGGCGGCGCTTGTCCGTAATTCAATGCCTCATAGCTATCATCGTAGTCGTCATCGTATTCGGCGCCGGTTTCATGTGGCGTTTCCTCAACTAACGAATATTGCTCATAGCGCTTCTTCAATTGGCCAATATCGCGCTTGTCATCCAGCAACTGCTCGGCATTCCATGGTGCTCCGGGCAGGCCCTTACCCTGCTTGATAATGCACTGCGGATTATCCTGTGTGAGAACATCGTACTTGTCACCGTCATGCACATTGTAATGCCGCACGCCGGTTTCCCGTTGCAATTTGTCCTGCGGATCGGCTGGTATGAACGCCTCCTGGCGAGTCATGTGAACCAGGTCGGGCGGCAAATTGTCATCCAATATAGCAGCAATCGCTTGTTCGCTGTTGTCGTAGCGCGGCAATAGCCGGCGAATGAATCCCATGCCCAAATCGGGCAGTACATCCAGCACAGCAAACACTTCCAGATCAATGTCGCGAGCGCTATTACTATTTCCTGTTGCTGCAGCCGCTGGCAGCGCAGCTTGGACACGCAATGCCTTAGCCTCTCCACATTCATCATCAGATTTAAGACTGCAGGGTATTTGTTTTTCGGCAATGACGCCGCTGGTGCATGAGCCAAGTGTCTTCTGATAGCCAGCTATTATAAAATCCACCTTGTAGTTCTTGCTGTATTGTTTAGGAAGTAGCAAATAAGTATATAACGATTGTGGTATGGAGTTAAGTCGCTCACATGTTCGGACAGCGCTCCACCAGTATAGCAATGTCCTGCTCGACCGGATACTGGCGCTGATAATCGATCACAAAGGTCTGTGCTGAGAGGCATTCCTGTAACAGCTCCACCAGCTGTTTACCGTGTCCAGTCTGTAACTGTGCTTGGGTTATGCGCCGCACAACGTTTAGGAATTGCTGGCGTGCCTCATTTAGCCAGCACAATGAACTCGCCTGTGCATTAATAAGATAAATGTTTCTATACAGCAGTGGAATGGTCAGATCATAGAAGTTGGCAATGCTGAATATAAATGGAGAATGGAATCATGCATGATTAATATTATTGGTGTACAACCAATAACAAACACTCTCTCTTACATCTGTACAAGTTTGAGCTGCTCACAAGCTTCCAGCAGCTCCGGGCACAGCTGGATTAGCATGCGCAGCGTATAGGCGCAGTCCAAGGCAAATAGGACAACATCGTCGTAGGGTGTTTCCGCATCGGGATCCAAAAGTGTGCCGCCACCGGCGCCCTCACAGCCCTCGTTATCCACTTGAATTTGCATGCTTAGGAAGGCATTCTCATAGAATGCCAATCCCTCCTGCAAATCTTTTAAATAGTCTGGCTGAATTCGTATCACTGTCTCAAAGATCTGTTCGAGAATATTTAAATTATTCGCATCGGCATCGCCAACTGCAATAACCAGATCGCAAAGCACCGGCACGGACATTAAATAGTTGTCATACAATAAGGAACTGTGGTGCTCTGGTGTTATCCACTCTGTTGCCGATTCCTGTGCAGTTAGTAGGCGCATAATTATACGCACCGCCCGATTAAGCAATTCGGCGTAAAGTGTCATTGCATTAGTCAGGGCTGCATCATGTTCCCCTATTGTACTGCTTTCGACTTCCTTTCTATAGTAGGGATTGGCGCGCTGCAGAAATGTCACAACGGCAGTCATTGCCGCTTCGTCGTACAGCATATACGACCAAAATCTGCAGCAGGAAGAACACTTAATTTTGGCTGAAGTCTCGTTAGGAACTAGCACTTACTCGTGATGCCTCAGATGCAGTAGAAACTCGAAATCTTCCAGACAACTGGCGGCGATATGATGCCATTCTTCCAATGCGGCGCCAGATTTGGTGCGCCCATACGAACTAAGTATACAGACATATGAGTTAAATGGCTTGTCCCGCGTCAGCCAGTGCAGATCCTGTTTTAGATTTGTATTTCACAATTCGTAATCTTGGCAAAAATGCATGATATGGCTACTCTAAATAATATGCTTACAAGTGCAGGCACTTGCCGTCGGATGCCATCGGTGTCGATTAGCGTGAGCTTCAAGTCGCCCAACGGCAGCTTATCCGGATTGCAGATGCTATTACCGCTGTCCAAGTCCTTGTCTACCATCACAGCTGCGAAGCAATACAGATGTCAAAGAATCGATTAATGCTAATAATATATAAAATTAAGAATTGACATATCGATGCAATTTCGATATTTGTACTTTGTTGATATCGCTTGCAAACATTTTGGGTAATCGATTCATTTCGATAAGCGCTTATTTGTTCGTTCTGGAAACATTTAGTTTTTTGATATCGTTTGCAATAATTTGGGAAATCGAGCTTTTCGATAAATACATTCAATTGCGCGTACTTTCAATTGTTATTTATTTTTTTGACGTTCATTTGCAAAAGTATTTTGTGTATTGTAGGTACAATTTCGCAGCAGTTTTACATTTTTTTCCATTATAGTTTGAGTCTTCGCTCAGTTCCAAATTATTTGTTAAAAAATATATTTTTTATTCAGCATATTAAAAATATATGTTAAATTGTAATTTTAATAGACAGCTAGAACATAACATTTTAAACTTGAATGGCTCCTTCGAAGTTAGTTAGTATACCTTTTTATTATTTTTATTCGACGATTCCTTGTGTGATTCATTTTTGTTTTTCACAATTAAGTACATTTATATTGCAACTTTTATGATTTATAATTATTAAGTTCTATCAGCGACACAGATTATCTAACTATCTGGATATTTGATGTAAAAATATGAAATAGTTGGCATAACAATATATGTATGTTGGTAAGCAATAACAATCATCTTCTTTTTTCTACGTTCTCTGATATATTTCCATATGTAAATAATTTCTAACTTTCAGATGATATCAAGTGTTAACATGAAATCTTATTTAATTGGGTGCAAAGTTAGTGATTAATCTGGGTCGGAACCCATACAATTTTCACAGCATTTCGTTGAAACTGATAATAAAATCACAATCAACTATCAATCGTTTTATAAAGTTCTAGGGCAAAGAAATGAAGAACAGAATAACGAAGTACTCGGTTGTTAGTGGATCTGCATATACAATATATAGTGGACCGATAATGAGAATTTTTCCAATGTCAGCCTGATGGTATATACATATATGTACCTTATGGGATCGCAAATGTTGATTTGATGCCTTACTCTTTTTTCCCTACATCTAACGGAACAAAAATTTGATTTACAACACTGCAAGATACTATTTCTTATAAAGCAAACGCAGTGGCAACGCTGTTGTGGTGTTATCACTTGGTAATCATCTGTTAAGCGTATGTATTTTAAATATATTTAAATAAACAAAGTCAGACGTCTTGACTTATAATCGGCAACGATTGTTCTTCGCTCATTCGACATCTGCAATCCACTGTGAGGCACTGCCATGCTTTCAAATTTGCAATCTCGTAGTGGTAACCTGTTGCGTCACACAGGCTGCTGGAATGGCTGGACACGGGGCTGGGCCATATCAGGCAGCAGGGATGCCAAAGATCTGGATGGTAGTCAGATAACGATTGGTGATGTAACAATGCCCTTGGTAAAGCCCAAGGAGCCACATTTGGTGCCCCATAAATATGGTAAAGCTTAGTTGAGGTTGAGAGATCAAAGTTCGTTTAACTATCCAATATCCAATATGTATATATCTATACAATGAGTTGATATTCATAGTAAATTACGCACCGGATGGAACGCTACAGCTGACCCAGACGGCCCTTCACCATTTGCGATGGATGCTGCAGAAAGACTCACTGAAGCAGGACATGTTTTTGCTGGGCGCGCCAGGACCAATGAGGCGACATCTGGTCATGCAGTTCCTAGAAGTGACTGATCGTGAACTGGAATACGTGGCGCTCAGTCGCGACACCACCGAGAGCGATCTCAAGCAACGACGTGAGATTCACAATAAGACAGCCCTATACCATGATCAGGCCGCAGTTCGGGCAGCTCTACACGGACGAGTTCTGGTACTCGATGGCGTGGAGCATGCTGAACGCAATGTGCTGCCGGTATTGAACAATCTACTGGAGAATCGTGAAATGCATTTGGAAAGTGGTAAATTTCTCATGGCGCCGGAACGTTACGACAAATTGTTAGAGGTGTGTGCGTGTGTGTGTGTGTTTGTGTAAGCCAAGTTAACTGATAAACAATACTTTAATATACTGTTCACAACTGGCAGACGCACAGCCAACAACAGCTGGAAGACTGGGGATTGTTGCGTGTCTCCGAACACTTTCGCATAGTGGCACTTGGACTTCCCATACAGAAGTATAAGGGCACGCCGCTGGATCCACCGCTACGTTCACGTTTCCAATCGCGAAACATTCTGCACTGCAGTTTTCAGGAACTGTTCGAGGAACTGCAGCAGCTAGCGCCCGCTGTACCCGCCCCAAAGTTGAAACAACTGCTGACCTTTGCGTTGACCCTCCAAACAGCTGACGATGCACTCCAGCTCCCTGACTTTCCGTTACATAATCTTCGCCTAGGCGTTGGAATGATGGTAAAATCAGGTCGTCACTGCTAAATACTTCACTTATTTATTTTATACGTCCCTCATTTAGAAAGCAAATCCAACGCTTAGCCTGCAAGATGCCATATCCATTCTGTATCCCTATCAATCCATGCTAACGTCACAACAGCAGCAGCGTATTAATGAATTGTTTACGAGCCTGCACGTTAAGCGCGTACCCAGTCCTAAAGTGGAACGTATTACCAGCAAGCAACTGCCGGATGGCATCGTCCATGTGCAACTCGATGGTGTTCAACTACATTTGCCCAGTGGTTCGGCTGCGCCATCAAAGGGTAACTTTGTGGACTTGCCGCATCAGCGTCAAGTGCTCGCAACGCTGCTCCAATCCTATGCCGTTGGCGATGTCTGTCTACTTGGCGAGAAGGGCGTTGGCAAGATGACAATAATTAATCAGCTGCTGCGCTTATTGCATCAATCTCCTGAACCGATGATGCTATATGAGGACATGACCTCGCGCGATCTGGTGCAGCAGCGCATCACAAATGCCGAGGGCGACACCATCTGGCGGGACTCGCCATTAATACGCGCAGCGAAAACTGGTTCGGTGGCCATACTCAATGGCCTTCACAGACTCCACAAGAGCACGGCGTCAGTGCTGCAACGGTAATTGCCCTCTTGCAAAAATTCAAAAACCCACCAAACAAAAAAGTGTATAATTTCAAAATATATATATTTTTTTTATTCATGTACTACTTGCAGCATAATCCATGATCGCGAGATACAGTTATGTGATGGAACCACTTTACTTCGTGCGGATCGTTATCAGGCACTCTTGGATCAGGGACTTGATCAAAATGAGCTAACTCAACGTGGACTGCTTGCTATACCCGAGTCCTTTCGCATCATTGCATTGGGTGAGCCACCAAAGCGGGGTGCTGGTACGCCCAGCTGGCTGACACCGGAATTGCTGAGCATGTTTCTTTATCAGGAGCTGCGACCACTGCAGCAGAGTGAAGAGCATGAGCTACTTGTGCAACTGTGTGGTCATGTCCAGCCCGAGATGAAACAGCTGCTGGCGCTGGCACAAATATTACGCAGTTCGACCGATCCACTGCTTGAGGGTTTAGCTGGGACGCTATCAACGCGCCAGCTATTGAAAGTGGGTCGACGCCTGGCCGCATATCCCACAAGCAGTCTGAACAACGTCCACGAAATACTGCAGCACACGTTCCTGATGAAGTTTATGCCCTCGTTATCGCGTACAGCCTTGGAGCAGGCAATGCTCCAAGCAGGCATAGCTCCAAGTGTCCATAACGATGGCAAGCGCCGGGAAATCAGCGAGATGGACAACAAACTGCAAATTGGCGAAACCCAAATGCAATTGGTCGAGCTGTCACTAGCGCAGCAATCAAAGGTACCCAGCACACTGTTCTACGAGATGCCGCAGCATGTAATGCTGTTGGAGCGCCTGCTCCAAGACTATCTAATCGGCGAGCATTTACTGTTGGTGGGCAATCAGGGCGTTGGCAAGAACAAGCTCATCGATCGCCTGCTCGAGCTGATGCGCCGGCCGCGCGAATATTTGCAGCTACACAGGGATACCACAGTGCACAGCCTGACGGTGCAATCGTCGCTAAGCGATGGCAAAGTGGTCTACGGTGACAGCGCATTGGTCAAGGCGGTTAAAGCTGGCGATGTGCTCGTCATTGACGAAGCGGACAAGGCGCCCGTCAATGTTACTTGCATTCTGCGCACTCTGGTTGAGAGCGGTGAGATGGTGCTTTCAGATGGGCGACGCATTGTGCCACATGGAGCAGCTGCAACGACACCCAATTGCATTGAGACACACGCCGATTTTCGGCTTATTGTGCTGGCAAATCGGCCAGGCTTTCCATTTTTGGGTAACGATTTCTTTGCGGCGCTCGGCGACGTCTTCAGCTGCCATGCCATCGACAATCCCACTCCCGAATCGGAGATCTATCTCTTGCAACGATATGGACCGAATGTGCCCATCAATACACTTAGAATGCTTGTCAATGCATTTGGCGAGCTTCGCAGCCTGGCTGACGAGGGGCTACTCAACTATCCATACTCGACGCGGGAAGTTGTGAGCATTGTGAAACACTTGGAGCGTTATCCGGAAGAGAGCATGTCCGAGTTGGTGGGCAATGTGCTTGACTTTGATCGCTACCAGCCGGAGGCATTGCTGCAGGTCACTCAGGTGCTGGCCAAGCATGGCCTGCCAATTGAGGCATATGCAAAGAACGAACTGCAGTCACTGCGCCAGCAAAAGCAGCTCCAGTTAACTGTGAAGCGTCACAGCGGTCTGGGCGTCTCTGGACCCAAATTTGGCAAATTGGATCCCAAAAATGAACCTCATGTTGGCGGCAATACGTGGGCGGGCGGCAGCGGTGGTCGGGATACCGCGGGTCTCGGTGGAAAAGGTGGACCATTTCGCCTGGATAAGGGGCACAAGGTACACCAGTTGAGCGATGAGGAGAAAGCTGATATTCCCGAGGAAATCAAACGGGCGGCACGCGAAATGAACCGCAAAGCCTTCGAGCAAAAGCTGCAAGAGATCAAAATGTCTGCTCATGATCATAAATTGTATGCGCAGTTCAGCGAGCCCAACCACAGGCAAGTAAAACAGCTCAAGGCCATTTTGGAGGCGATGCAGACAAAGAGTAAGGAGCGCCAATGGGAAAAGTATCAAACTCATGGCGAACTTGATGATACACGCCTCATTGAGGGTATCACCGGCGAGAAGAACATTTACAGGCGACGCGCCGAGGCAAATCCCTGGGCAGATCACGTCCAGGAAAAGCCCAATCGGCTGAAACTTGTCGTTGATGTCTCGGGATCTATGTATAGGTAAGTACAGTAAACCATTTAGTTACCATTGACCGCTTATAGCTTCTACACCAACTCTTTCCCAGATTCAATGGCTATGATGGAAGACTAGATCGCCAATTGGAGGCTGTGGTGATGGTCATGGAAGCATTCGAGGGCTATGAGAAAAAAATTGTCTATGATATTATCGGCCACAGCGGCGAAGGCTGGGAGCTGCCCTTTGTCAATGTGGGTAGTCCACCCAAAAATGACAAGGAGCGTTTTGAGGTAATACGCATGATGCACGCTCACTCGCAATTTTGCTGGTCCGGTGACAGCACCGTGAAAGCGGCACGAGAGGCTTGCTCCACGCTGGGCGCTGAGCCTGACTGCGATAATGGCATCGTCGTTGTTCTAAGCGATGCTAACTTGGCGCGCTACGGCATTTCACCCAAGGATCTAGCGTCCGCCCTTAAGCGCGGTGAGCCCAAGATCAAGGGCTATGTCATATTCATTGGAAGTCTGGCTGAGGAGGCCGACGAGTAAGTACTAATAGCATATGTATATGTATATGTATATGATTTATCTAACTGAATTATTTCTTCAAGAATCAAAACCGATATGCCGGCTGGACAGAGTTACGTATGCATGGACCTGACCAAATTGCCGCAAATACTGCAGCAGATATTTACCTCGTCGCTTATCTAATTAGTTGAATATTTCATCGAAATGTTTCTTGTATAAACTTAACCCTGTACATATAAAAATGGGTAAACAATTGTAAATTTAAACTGTACAGAGGCTCCCATTTTAATGTGTGAATGTGTAATTTTTAAGGAGATAGATAACTATTAAAAAATTTGGTAAACGGTTCGATTGACCATGAAAAATCAATATTATTTAATTATACTTTAGACAAATTATGGTATGGCATAGCCATTATAATTTTTAAGCAGCGGTGTGTTTAATTAAATATTCAGATTAACTCAATTGCAGCAAACACACATAATAATGTCTTCCGATTTAGAACATATATATTTATATGTATATATATACTTTACGGTGGGTCGGAGATGTCTACTTCAATGACCTGCACATTGAAATCGGAAAGAAAACAATCACTGTCGGTCCGTCTGTAAGACAAATAGAGACAAATGAACAATCTACCTCCATATCAATTTAAATGTCATTAAGGTTATTATAATGATGATAGCTTGAAGCATTCAGGCGCCTTTTGTACTCTCGCAGCATTAGAATAAAAGACCAGATTGAATTTGTTGTATTCATATTTATTTGTTACAAATTAAATAAATAAAATAATAAAAAAATAATTCTAATACTTTTCGTACTATTATTGCACATTCAAACACAATAGAACAAACTAAACAATTAAAACAATAATACAAGGCATCTATAAGTAATACACATGTAGCCTGTGCGCAAATGTTTGCAAGTGACTTGAGTACAAAGCTGTCTCGTCGATATATGTAATTATGTAACATCTTTGACTAATAAGCGTGAAAATATATTATATATATATGTATGGTATGTATGTATGTATTTATGTATGCAAGAGAATAGGTCAGCATACATGTATTATACAACTACTACACATAATCGCCGTGAAACTAGAAGCTTAAATAACGTAACTCTTTCTAATTATCATGCTGTCGAATTTCGCGATGTAATTAAAGTCATTTACGGTGACATTAACATCTATCTGACTATGCCAGCTCATCATGTAAGCCCTCAGCGTCTAGCGACTTGTTGGACTTAAACCTATAACTGCTATCATTGCCGCCTTGGCTGGAGCCTTGTGACTTGGAGCTTGAGGTCATGTTGTATAGTTCATCAAGATCCTGACTGCGCCGGTAGCTGTGTGGAAAGATCAATTTTCGTCAATTTTCCATTTGAACAGACCGACTTTAATCGCACTGCATTACTTACGTGCTAACAGGCCGGCCGTAGGTGGACATGGCAGGACTGCCTGGATTGTTGCTATTGTTGCTGTTCGTGTCGTTGTCGGCCTCGTTGATGTTCGAGCTGTTGTAGAGATCGCAATTGTCTAAGTACTCAGATCGTATATACGTGTCTATATCATTATCGTTTTCACTATTGTCTACGTAGTCTTGTTCATTGTCGCGATCCTGCTGTGACTCAACCATGCACAGCCACTGGGAGTTGTGATTACGGAACTTTTCAAGCTGCATAGTATCAATCAACACAATAAGGAAAGTATTTAGTTACAATGTATTTATCAGAGATCGGAGATAAATGTAGAGCTCACCTTGATACGCTTGGCCCATTCGCTATCGCTAATTGCAATGATGTCGAGACAATAGTCGCATACCTTCCGAATCTCTTCATTCTTGTCATGCATAAGATCAATGAGATAGGCTGGCGATTCGGTTTCCTTGATCATATACTCGCGTGTGCTTTCGTGACGCAGAATTTGCTGGAATACATAAATGATCTGCAGAACAATCTCATCATCCTCCTGCTTGGCCTTTAGCAATTCAATCAGCGATATTACGACCTTGGCACGACAAAAGAGGAGCGCACAAAGCTCATCACAGGCGCAGGTGCCCAGATAGACGATAGTGTCGAGCACCAGATCGTCCATCCTAGCGCAGGGCACCAGCAGTTGTCGTATCCAGGGTATTAATTGAAAATTCTGTAGTATTTGCGAGTAGTCCAAGTCAGTCAACGCTAGATTGCCTAATATACCCAAACACTCCACAATGAATGACTCATCATCGCAGATGGCCAGAATGCGGGCCAGGTCGCCCACGTAGTCGATGAATTGTAGTTGAAGCGACTCGTGCTGTGATAGATTGCGCAGTAGTTTCATCAATAGTGCATCCTGATATTTGAAGGCGCGATCCATGAGACTGTGCAGCCGCTGGCCTTCAACCATAATCTGTGCATTGCGTCGATTCAATGATAAATTGATGCAGAGCGCTATGAGATCCAAATCGACTTTTACATTGAGATTCACTATAATGGCATCCGTGGCCATTTGTACGCACTCCGTGTGCGTGAACATCGACTTGACCTTGTCGTCGAGGCTCATGTGGTACAGTATTTTGACGGCAATGCCGTGATGCTTCTCATCGTTTATAAACATAACCAGCATTGGCAGATAGCCAGCACCAACCATTTTCCGTCGAAGCGTTGCATCGAACGACAAATTGAAGACTAGCTTAAGTGTAACCTGCACCAGATCTGTGTGCGCATTTTGAAAGAGACGCGGTAGCTTCGAGACAATGTTCAAGGCGTACATCTCATCCTTGTTGTCGCCAACAATGGACAGCTTTTTCAGAAACGTGCTGACCAACATAAGCAAATCAATGTTTTGGCGATCCAGCGCTTTAACCAGCATCTTAACAATATTCTTTCGCCGCATTTTCTCTTCTAGTTTGACGTTCTCGGCCATGTTCAACAATAGATAGAAGGCAACGCGAAGTAATTGCTCTTGTTTCTTGGCAAATATCTTAAGCTGTTTGTTCAGTCGATCAATTTCTTCTTTCTTCACTTTAGGATCGTTTTGATCGAGAGACTCGTTGCTTTGCGCTTTCAACTCAACCGGATATACGGGTTCCACAGCATTTGCATTAGAATTTGAATTAGTCCCGGCAGAGAGCGCCTCATGATAGCTGCTGTTGAGTATTTGACTTCTTATTAGCGAAGAGGACATGGTTCCATGAAAACTGCTCCAATTACCCGATTTGGGACGCTGTTTCAGTTCTGGTATACGGCGACGTGGTGGTTCCATCTGAGAGAAAATATCCAAATATTTGAATTATTTTGTGAGCACACTTCACATATACAGTTATCTTCACACACCTCCTTCGGTTTCTCTTCGTTCATAATATCGAGGGCGTCGTCAGTGCTACGATTCAGCTTCTCTTTGCTTGCCTTGGCCGACAATGGCGCCGATCCATTGGGCTGCTTGCGGATATCCAGTTCATTACGCATAGTTTCGTAACGACGTAGCTCATAGTCGATGACATCCATGCAAAGCGATCCTATCTGTTATCGGTGATCAGATGACAATTAGATTTGCGCAAAAACCTAACTTGCACTTCGCACTTACTTTATACTGCACAATAAGAGGATGGAACTTGGTGTATGTAGAGAAACAAAAGAATATATATATTATGTTCGTGGATAGATCCAAGCTTTTACGCCAATCTTCGCGCAGTACCCGGGACAAAGCGCTGAGGCAGGCCTCTACAAAAACACAAGAAGTTGACAGTCGATGAGTTTTCGATAAGTAAAAGAAGACAGAATTAAAAGTGCTTACCATTTTTCTCCAATTCTTCCAGATTATCGGGATTGCGAGCCATCTGCAGTATCATGGCTGAACCGCGTACTCGCTCACTTAGCTCCTCATAGAGCAGCTCCACATACTCGTCAATGTTGTTAATGGACACATCCGCCGTTGGTATGGGTACTGTTGTAGGCCCGTTTGAGCCCGTTCCCATGCCACTGCTTGGTATGGCCGCAACGCTGCTATGAGATCGTGCCGCAGAACGCGTTTGCGATGTGTGCAGCGCCGCCGATCTTCGGCTATTTGTATGTGGATTGTCTGCAATATCTGCATATAACGGATTCCGATTTTTTTTTGTTTTTTTGGTAAAAGCTGTCAATATGGCACTCACCATTGCTTGTATTATCTTTGCGGTTCTTTAGATAGAAAATAATTTGTTCCACGTCGTTTAACTGCGATTTGTGTATAAGTTCACATTTGTCCACCACTTCTCGAGCCAGGGCAGCTGGATCCGTTTTGGCAGTCAGCGAACGCAAGCGTATGATTTTCTGACAGTTCTGTAATTGATTTAAATATGAATATTCATAAAAATCTATTTATTACTATTCGGTTATAAATAGTAAAAAAAAAAACAAAACATGCCTTTTTCTCCTCAATCATGGGATTGTTGGGTTCTCCAAAGACGGTCGCCTCCAGCTGGTAATTGACAATTAGCGCCTTATCCGTGGGATGTGGTTCAATGCAGCCCCCTTTCCAGCGTCTGTAATATAAAGCGGTTTTACAATGACAACATCGTTTAGGCTTAGTGTGGGCAAATCTTTACTAATTTATATATGTAAGGTTTTTTCTTTTAAATTGTTGAAGGCTGCCTGAAAAATTGTTGCTCAATGAATATAGAAGTTTACTATATACATATATATATATTTTTATTTTTGTTCAAACTCTGCCCCAGTTTTCTTAATCAATACGTGAGTCACCGATTGTTGTAAAGTCTATCATTGTCGGAAAATGAGTGGAAAGCTGTTGAATGCAACTTCTTATTTATTTATTTATTTTTTTTCAGTTTGGTAACTGACAATAAGTTTTAATGCGAGAATGCATGATAAGTTTTCATCGTTCCAGCGATTCTAAGAGTTTATTGCGATAGGTATATTAAATATGGATCAAGAATGTTTGCTTATGTTTGAAGACTTTTAGTTGTATCCGCATACATACATACGTACATATGTTTGTATGTATGTACTTACGTAGGGCACCAACCGTTAAGGCAAGCGAAAAAATCGATAATAACAACAGTGGTAGCAAATATTTTAGTCATTCGACAAGGTGAGTGGGTTTCGATTTTGGTCTGCTTCTACTTTACTCTTAAGTTCATACATGCACAAACACACAAACATAATTATATATATATATCTACATATATATGTGTATATATATATATATATATATATAATGTCTATAAATATGTATGTACGCACATTGCGTTTAGTTTTTATTCTGAGTGGCAAGTGGACTCACTTTTTAATAAACTTTGCATCATCGTTTGTTTGCATTGCTTTTCCTGTCGAAAGAGTGTGGCAATATTTCCTTAGGGGATCTGAACCCTCTGTTATTCTGATCGCTTTTGTTGTTTCAATTGGGTCTGGGTCGACAAACGCTGCGCTGGGTCGTCTTATTGTGGGTGTTGTGCTCGTTCGTCTTCGTCGTGACACTGAATAATTTCGAAATTCGCCGGTAATTGCATTTATTATATAATAAATATAATGAATAACAATTATGAGCAGCACCAGGCCCGAAATCACTTGGAAAAATAATATAAAAACAAATTGCATGCGTCTTAACGACACGAAAACGACCACTATGACGGCCAGAATCAGGCATTAGAGATGGACGACATTTACTCACCACCATTACACGACCCACGTATTTACGAGTAACTAGTTACTGTTATCACTAGTGGTTGGAAGTCGATTCATTTATTATCGATATGTTCGATGCCCGCAAAATATCAAGAATTTGAAATAAACTCTATATCTTAATTTGATAAAACTACATAAGAATTAAAAAAACGCATGTGCAACACAAAGCTTAGTAGTAATTACTAATGGGTGCACATTTGCTATATTGAAATTATTTTGAGTCGAATGCGTTGTTCAAGCCAGCTACCCATTCGATAATATGCTTAAAGAATTCGTCATCGGCCAGTTCAATAATGCGCACATTTTCTGGAAACTTTTCACACTCTTTTAAATGATCGAGCACCATTTGGCCACGAGTGTGGGTGCCTGTAAGATCGACGGTGGCATGCCAAGTGCTGGACTTCTTCACAAATTCCTTTTCAAAGAGCCAGACAGCCACCAGCAAAGCATCACATGGATTCCAATTATCGAATCCATACTGCTGTAGGGGCATCCATTGTGCGTATTCTACCCGTGTGAGAATATCGATGGCATTGTGCTTGATAGCAGCCATTTGTTTACCAAATTCTTCCAGCCGCCAATTCTGAAAAATAGGATAGAACACACACACATACCCATATATACATATATCTATCTAAGTATATTAGCCAAAGAGTTCGTTTGAACTCGTTTACTCACAACAGATATGTTGAAACGCTCCTTGGTGCACGGTTCCCATGGAAGTATGGTGATTGGACAGCGACACTTTAACAGCACGGCATGTGCTGCCTCCGGATCGGAGTGAAAATTAAACTCGGCGGAGCGTGATGAATTCCCCACGCCCTGATAATTGCCGCCCATTATGTAAACATCTTTGATGTTCTGCCCAAACTGCTCACCATACATAGCGAAGCCCAATGCCAAATTGGTAAGTGGTCCCACTGCAATAATTGTGATCTGTTGCGGTCGTTTCTCGCACAGTTCCCGTATAGCTGTCACTGCATGCTGTGGCTGCACAAAACTGGACACATTTTCACAGTTATCAGCGTCTAGGCAGTCCCCGAATCCATCGCGCCCATGGAAATACTTCTTGTCCGCGTTGATGTTACCCACAAGCGGATCAACAGCGCCCAGATAAATGGGAATCTAACCGATAAAAGAGATCAAGTGATAGTTGTCACACTTACATATTGATTTTCGAAGGAATGATTGTTCAAAGTGATCAAATAGAGATGGATAGATTTATTACGGGAAAAGTATAGAAAACCATAGAATGTCGCATACCTTTACAGTTTTGGAATATGCACCGATTTTCATGAAATGATTATAAAAATTTAAATACCCTTTGCCAGAGGGCAATAGGCATTTTGTATACAATGAAATGTCTAATATCTGGTCAGCTGTAATTAATTGGAATTAATCGAATTGTAATTTCATTCACATTTTGTAATTAAAACGAACGCGCCTGTGTAAAGTTATGATTAAGGGATGGTGGCGGGTGGGGGGCAGCAGCAGCTGCTTACATCTGCTACCCCTCTATGTATGGATATACTCACATCTTCCCTGGAGCAAGCTGTCAGAATTCGTCTCATGTTGCGAGCGGCGTTATCACAGGTTGTATTGCCACAGCCGGTGGTTGTCACTGCCAGTACCTGAAGATGTCCAAACTTTTCAGCATGGAGGAGCAGGAGTAGTGCCCAAGCATCATCACTACCACCATCGCAGTCCAATATAGCGAATCGTTGACTTTGGTTAGCAGCGGTGCACATGATTATTGTTGCGGTATTCACGGAGTGCTCGCCTCCATATGATGTACGCAACTGACTGCGTTATAACTAACTAGACGACGCGCCGGCTGATAATCGTTTTTGATAAAGACTTGCAAAAGCGATGTAAGCCAACGCTTCTGAAATCGCTCTTGATATGTGGCAAAATGTTCAATGATTATATTAACTCGGGCATGTACATGTATTTGTGTACAAATCTACACACACTATTTGTACAAACATTAATACATAAATACACGTACAGCTGGGGTTATAAAGTGATACAAATTTGTAGCACAATATACACATGACACACATGCATACATACACACATCTGTGTATGTTTGTTTGTATTTATGTATGTGTGTGTGCACTCATGTTATATTATAACTGTAAACACGTATGCATCTACACCAATTGGAGCCCGTCTACTGTTTAGTGTTGCATTAAACTATTTGCTCTTATACGAATAATCGCATTTACACACATGTCTGTATGTATGTATGTATGCGCGATACGTTTGTACGCCCGTATATATTTTAAATTGTACACACATATCGCGACAGTTATCAAACGGCGTATTGCGGAACATGTGTATTTGTATGTACAGTGGCGAGCATAAGTCTACGTCGAGTGCGTGCACACACCTTCGGAGGTCTGGCGAACCGAGATAAGCCTAGAGAACATATTTATGATGTGTACTGAATATTATTTATTCAAACATTTCTTCAATTAAAATATTGATCATAAATAAAATACCTGACACAAGTAAAATAAAGCTGGCTTATTTACTATTGACGTTAGTATATTCTCTTGATAATCGTCGATTTTTTAAATAAAATGATTGGTTTAATAAAAAATTATAAAGAACATAAATAAAACTTATATTTTTAGAACACGTATTGCAGCGAATACGATTTTTCTAAAACGTTTTCGAGATATTTTGAAGATCGTGTATTTTTCGTAAGCTGGCAAAAACAAAAAACATAAAAGTCGAATTATAATCGCTTATCGTGCTTTATATTTGAACAATTCTCTGAAGTCTTATGCAACACCATTCCGCATAATTAAAACAAATAGAATATTCAGATAAAGTTTATTTCAAAATTTGGATTAAGCACATTAGTCATAATTCGTACAGTTTTTTTTATCAATCTTTTTGTATGAAAGCTTTTCTAATTGCTAATGAAATAAGGGCACTAGGTTTGCTTGCTTGTACTATGAATGCATGTAGACATTTCTATTAAAAATTTAATGAAGATGCACTACGACTATGACTAGAAATCTAATCTTATCCAATGGTCTTATATAAGCGGCGTTTACAACAGTATTTTGGTAAATATCCGCTTATATGGCAAATGTATCTAAAGTTTACAATTGTATATCTAATAATAAAAAAAAAACAAATAATATCTAACAGTTTTTAGACAAAAAAAAATGAACGATACGGATATAAGACACTTAATGTGCTAACCGGCACAGGAGTTATGCAACGATCGAAAACAATCTTAGACGGGTATACCAGTGCGATCCTTAATCTTGCCAAGCACATTCACATGCACCTTGGAGTAGCCGCTTGGCTTTTTGCCCAATGCAGGTGGCATATCCATATGGGGCAGTCCAGCCGTGCTAACACCAACATCGAGAGACGCACACGACAGCGGCGACGAGTGCTTGGAGTCATCCATATGCGAGGAACGCTGCGTACTGATGTCATGCGAGAGCAGCAGGTCGTCGCTGTTCGGCCTCAACTGTGTTGAGGAGGGCGTGTAGATGGGCTGCAACTTATCGATCTCATCATCGATGGCCTTGAACTGCCAACTCCAGTTGGCCCGATAGAGGAACGGGCGATGATCGAAACGATTGTCATCGGGACTATAGCTTTCGGCATGGACCGACGGTGTCAGTACGGTCATTTTATGCCGATTAATGGCGTAACAGCGAAAGAAATGCTTCACCTTATCGGCCACCTCCTTGGGCGTCAGATCGCCCTTCCAGGTGGCCATTAGTTTGCAGAACATGCTGTAGGGTCCGCAAAAGAATTGTTTACGCAATCGTCCATATTGACTCAATTCGGCATAGCTCATGCCCATATCTTGTTCATCGGTTTGCACCAGTTCTCCGTTCTCCTGCAACGGTTCCAGTTCGGCGGTGGGCGGTGCCTCGATAATTGACTCCAAAACTGGCAAATTATATCTGCAAAGTATTAATCAATTATAATAATCTCTCTATTGATTAATTTGATTTTGACTACTTACTTGTCCTTGGCATAGGCCAGGAAACGTCGCAGATCCGACTTGGAAATGCCACCAATGGGATTGATATCAGCCGATGAGCAGTCATACTTGGTCATATATCCACGCAGCGATTCATCCACATTTGCGGAACCGAGCACCAGCAGACCACCAGGTCGATTGCGCACCCACAACATCAATTGGGCAAAGATATAAGCGAGCACCATGCGTATGCGTGACTGAATATTTTGCAATGCCAGATTCTGCCTGGCACAGCCACCCTGGGTGCGAAAGACTGGCGTTAGGCCAGTAACTGCATTGAATATGCCCAGCAGTGCATTCACGGCCGAATCAATGCTGATCTCAATGTGATAGCTGCCTAGTTGGCTGGCCAATTGGGATGCACGACGTCTCGTCTCCTTGCTGCTGTTGACGCTGCCCATAAAACAAGTGACCAGCAGGCGATTGCACAAAGCTGCTGGATTATCTGGCGTATAGTCCGTGTCGGCGAGGATTTTACGTATATCATACAGAACCTGCGCATCGCCAAGCTGCACAGCGTGCACAATCTGACGACACATGGAGTGTACAATGGTCGCCGAGCTGCTGGAATCGACACCACCGCTGAGCGGCAGAAAATAGCCACCCTGGCCGGATCGACGCAGATAGTCCCACAACCAGCAGGCGGGTCCCAGTGCGATCTCCTCTTCGGGCGTATGACTCGGGACCTGTATCGGTGCCGTCGATGTCTTAAATATATCATTGTGCGTGGACATCTCAAAGTCGCAACGAATACGGGGATATGCCAGTGCACCAGCGGCTATCGAGCAACGCGAACGTAGACTCACACGATACGACCGAATCTCCTCCAGATCGATGGTGGCCAGCGTGACCTCAACGTCTTGCAATGCAAATTGTTTGCCACGCGCCAATATCTCACCGTTGAGCGCAATTGCTGAGCAACCATTGAAATACACTCGCTGGCCATCGCAGCCACGCAAATTGCTAAAGAGATATGCACCGCCGGCCTTGAAGCTTGCATTCCGGATCAGATCGTTGGTAATGTGGGCTTTGCGCAGTTCCATATAACTACCGGAGCCATTGACAATTATCTCAACGCCCGCTAGGGACATCTCAATGTGTTTGCTGCGCACATTCCACAGCTCCTCGCAGATTTCGTAGCCAATGCAAGTGTCACGTGTCGCGATTACAGCATCGCCAAATGGCACCGTCTCCTGACCCGTATGCTGTGTGACTAACCGCGGCAGATAGTAGTCTTCCACTTGTAGCGCTTTCGTCCAGGCAGTAAACCAGCGCGACTCCCGATAATTGCCATCGTCGCACATAGCCATCTTGGGCCGGATCAACAGCAGCTGCCGGTTGAAGAACACGACACGGCAATTGTAGGCGACATTCTGATGCATCACTGGCATGCCCACGTCGACGAGCATATTCTCGCTGTTCAAATCAATCAAAGATGTTAGCAGAACAACAGATGCATATTTTGTAGAGCTTAAACTAACCAAAATGGTGACATCATGATCTCCAAGAGCGTCTCCCATGAGTGCAGAAACGTATCGGGCTCCAGAAAGTGATCCTCACAGCTGTAGCCACTGTGGAGAGGCAGTCAAATATAAATAATAATGTTACGTAATAAGTATGTACATACAAGTGGCACTTACCACACCTCCAGCTCGGGACCAGTTCGGTAGCTGGCACCCATATCCTTGGCCTCCAATATGGACTGCATTATTCGGGCCATATTTCCCTCAAAGTCCAGAGCCCATTGGTTTAGCGTTGTTACCGCCACGGTTATTTTGCGGCCCATTTTTGCGCCTGTTCAGTTGTTGTATTGTCAGTTGATAATTGGCAGTGTTCTGTTGTCTTTTTTGTTTTGGGTTTTTTTTTATAGGCAGTTAGTTATCAACTGAAACAGGGTCGAAATGAGATTGATATTAATGCGGTATGCTTGAATACGGGAACAATTTAATTGATTGCTGTTCCACAGTTCGAAGACTTGTTTTAGTAACTGTGTCGTCAGCGCTAAGTCCGTAAGTATTTGCTAGTTGCTATTTATTGGACGGACGGTTGCTAATAGAGTAGTGTTATTGTTGCTATTGCTGTTGCTGTTGCTGTTGCTGCTATTGATCAAACATGGGAATCGGTTCAAAAGTTGGCCCGCTGACGTAGCCGACATCTATTAATAGGTTTACGCCTATTTCTGTACCCAATGACAACGAAACCACAAAAAGCCATATTGCCTGCAATATCAAATCTACTATATCGCCATGCGCTAACCCAACACGAGGACACACAAAAGACCAACTCATGCAATGAATCACTAAGTGGCAATTTTGGTCAATCCCATTCACAGTGTTGGGAAATACCTGAAAAACTATTTATCATTAACATATTGTATAATAATGTGTTACGTATTAAAGGATCTGTGCTTATTTCTTCGATGTGCCTTCATATGACAAACTAGTTGCTTTGCTTACAATTATTTTAGTCAACTCTATATAAATACTACTACTATGTGTTCCTCGCACTTCTACTATCTTATATAGACTATAGGAAAATCATTTATTTATTCCATCAAGTCTTATAATATAGCTTTTAAATTTCAAAGCAATTTAAAACCCAAAATCATGTCCAAAAAGTGACGTACTCGTAAACACACATATATATACATATATATATATATTGTTTAACACCAAGAGTTTAGGTGTGTGTGCCGAGTACGGATTTAGTTGGGTGCAGTTGCCTTTCATGCTTGGTGGACGAGTAGATGACAGGACTTCACTCAATAGGCAAAGAAGTTGCGTTTTGCTTTCTGAGTGAAGTGCTGTGCTGTGCGTGTCGTTAGCAAAGCATTGAACTTTGAACTTTAACTGAACAAATTTATTTGCACATACAAATGTATGTAATATATGCATGTACATACATACATATGTATATGAATACCTGATGGAGTTGTATGTAGAATTGGAATAAGATACAAATTACACGATAAGCACAAGCAGACTCTGTCGTCAGCTTTCGATTGGCAAGCAACAGGTTATTTGACAGAAAATCCTCCAGAAAATGAATCTGAGCAGGGTTTCATGGAATCCAAGTAGTCGATATGGTCCTGCTGCCTAACAAAATCATCTCTACATCGGCGAAACACTTAAATCTATACTAATTTAGGATGACATGTTAACATTTGTATTATTATTTCTATCTGTCATGTGTCATAATTGCTAAATAAATCATGAAGTGTGCCATGCATGTTCATTTGGTTGGCTTGTTAATATCGTTTTAGTACATATCAAGACATATAGCATATTTTTTTTGAAAATCGAATTGTTCTAAAGACGCATTTCAATATTGAACAAAATTTGTGCGGAAAGCGTTTCCAAAAACATTTTGCACTCGTCCAGCAACGAAATACAGGAGGTGTATTATCGGTAAGGTTAAGTTAGGTTGACATCGTGGACAACGAGCCGGATCAGCGCAACAATGCAGAAGTCCGTCAGGGACAATTGGGTGGCGAGTTCAGCGCATGCCAACATTGAGACGCAGCATCAGAAGCAGTGCGATGGTAAGTCGAAAGTGCCTAAAACTATCAATTATCTATCTATATATAGATACTCATTGGCCGTTGCTAAATTGAACCAATCTTGACTGTTTACACTGCGCTAATTGGGTTGCAGCCCAATCGCATTTATCTAAATATATCCATCAGGCAATGCCTATTTAATCCAGGCTTATGGTTCGTTTTGATTTGATTTTGACGGTTGACGTCGACTAATGCCAAAAGTTTGCCCAAAAATAACGCCAGCTCCATTATTTAATATTTTGTGTTGTATTTTGGGCACTGGTTCTAAATGCATATCAATAACAAATCACATGTTGTGGGTTGTTGGCCATCGCATGCCCGCCCCCTGTCATTGTCTTGACTTGGCTTGGCCTGGCTTGGCTTGGCTTGGCTTGGCTTGGGCGCGCCTCAATACAGCTGACAGGGTAAAGGAAGCGGGCCGCATCTATAAATACACAAAACCATTCAGCATAACAGCAAATGACAGGCACAAAAAGCACACAGAGAGACGTAGCCAATTTGTAAAGAAATATGACAACCAAACAACAACAAAGAACAGCATGCAAATAATTTTGTAGCCTAGCTAAATGTTGTTATCTGAAACTGAAACTGCAAGAGGATATTCGATATTCGAGAGTGTCTGACTGTGAGATGCCCTGCATCCAAACACACACAATGACAATTGTATTTCTTCCTCCCTTGAAATACAAACAGATTCTCGTAGCCACGCTTCAGATAAAGTGCTGAAATTTGGATCCAACGCCGGAAATCGATAGCATCGATAATTGCCGATCGATAGCACCACATATCGAACACATTTTTAAAGCTATAGTTACGTGCTTTAAAGATCTTAATATACACTTAACGGCAATGTTCAGCTCCGTTGCTTTTAGTCCCAAACCAAAATAAATGAAAGAGTTTATTACACACATTAAAAACCGGAAATTTGCCAGCCCATTAATTTTTTCTGGCTTTTATGATATCTCTAAATATTACAATTTTAAATTAATTTTAATGGATATCTTTTAAGTTGCATATATTTAAGTAATGTGACTGTACTTCATAGATAGATTGGTATTGGACAACTCCAAGTCGATTATGCTTACTGGAACATTTTTAAGTATTTAAAAATTTATATAGTTTAAAATTCGATTAATCTGATAACGTAGGGTCGGGAATGATATACAAATGTACAATGTATTTATCGCATATTGTTAAAAATTTGAAAATTCAACTTGTTACTGAAAGAAAAAGGCATCAACAAACTACGAGTAAAATGTACTTTTATTTCATTTCTTTGTCTTTGGCGCCAGATATATATATATATATATATATATATATACATATAGATATTTATATATATTATTAAGTAAAAATGACAATGTAAGCCAAATTAATTGAAGCGTGTTGGCTTAGTTTTTATTTCTTCGTCGTTTGCATAAATATGAATGTGGGCAACAATAATTTGCTGGTGGCATTTGGCTTGCATATGTTAATGAAATGTATACTGAAGGCGGGCACGCGCCAAAATTACCAAAATTACCTTAAATAATTTTCTGTAGAATTCGTTCTGAGCAACATTTTATTATTACATTTGTCGGTGTTAACTGATTGACTGATGAATGATAGAAATAATTCATGAGCTAAGCTGTTCGCAGAACTTTCGTTTTTATTTTCTGAGAAACTGGTATATAATTATTATTATTTATTGGTATGGGCTTATTGTAGCTACTTTTGATTGCAAATTGATCCAATCCCAAAACAAATTCCAATCACAGCTATAAATTTGTTGATTCTGGAATGTGTTCAGTTTCTTGAGAACGATCGATTTAAAACAATGTTTAGCATGATCTCTAGAAGCGGACATCGTACAATGGAAAACAAATACTAAATATTGCACTGACTTAGTCCTATCCGATATATATATATATATATATATATGTATATGCTTTATTAACGAATCTGCTGTGAACAATTCTGTTCGTTAGCTTTTACGGTTTTGGCTTTGCGTTTATCGCCAATCAGTCAGACAGTCAGTCAGTCGGCAAAACAAACGGTTATATGTAGAGATCATTTCATAATTGCAGAAAGTCATTTGTTAAATTGTATATGTATATATATATATATATTTTTTGGCTTAGCATATGATTTTCGTTCGAAATAAGCTGTTTAATTGGTCGACTGAATAATTAAAAGAACATTTTAGCATCGAAACGATATATATATATATGTATGTAAGCAATTTTGTTGAACGACGCCAAAGCAATTTGAACTATTTTTGTCTATAGCTTGTATTTCAATATTTCGCAAAACAAAGCGCGTATATGCCACTTGGACAGCAAAACAAATTACATACATAGTCCCTCGAAATAGTCTCAACCAGAAGAGAGATACGCTTTTAATCGATTCAACAGCTCGCCGTCTCGATCACATCTGCATATATTTATGGATACCTGATGGGGTCATAGATCATCCATCTGCATGTAATATTCCCGTATTTACCGCGTACAGGGTATTAAAATGTCATTTTTAAAATTGTTTCACTTAGAGCATTGACAAAGGGATGGCAAATGAAAGCAAAAACACGAAAATTTGAGGAATTTCGTAGCTTCAACATAAATGAAATAGCAAAAATATAATAACAAAACAGTAGAGATTTCATGCGTACTTTCACTTGCATTTCGAACCGAGTTTTTCTCTGTGTGCACCCATGGGCCAAACCCACCCAAGATGCCAAGCGGCTTCTGCAATTATTGAACCAGCGACTTAAACGGTAATTGCAGAGCGAGCAGTCGAGCTTACTGACGAGTACCACGAATTACGACGAATACAACTTTTCAAATTTCAAAAACAAAATGCTCAAAGTTCACAGAGAGTGTGGAGTAATGCTCTCTTTGCTCTATTCGCTCTTTTCATATTACACATACATGTTCACGCTGTGTTTGACTCATGTCGTGCGCAATTTATGTTAATCACAATAGCGACCAGGCGTCCTTCAATTTAGTTGAGGCTCCCTTTTGGGGGTGGTCTCCTTCGCATCTATGCGAAATGAAGAATGATCAAGTCAAAAGCTATTGAGCTGCTTGTTACCCTGGAACCTGAGCTCAAATATACTGAATACAGAATATAGACAAAAGAAATACTTGCAAATAAGTATCGCATATGGATGGAAAAATTAAATATCTTTCCGCACACCAAAAAAATTCTTCTTTTTTTTTTTCATTAATATTCTTGAAGTCGTTCCAAAGTGTCAAATACTCTGTGCATCTTATATTCAAAATTACCTTGTCAAGCTTTTAAATGTTTTCGGGTTTTAAAAAACGTTGGATACTGAGAATATCGATTTGGGGGTTATAATTCGGTTACAATAAGCAGATCGACTCAGTTTAGCTTCCTTTTGGGTTCGCAGATGTCTACTTCTGTCTGTTCCCTTTGTTGGGAACACGATGCACCAAAGTTATTTGTACGATTCATTTAAAACAGATTTGCTGGTAAGCAGAGCTTATAGTAATACTTTGAGCCAGCTTATACTTTTAATATACTTTTGCGTTCATCCCGTAAAGACTATAGGTTGTTAGGATACACATTTGTATATACATATCTAACGTATACATATAAATATATATATATTTTTTTTTGTGGCAAATTTTAGCTTCTGCCTGTTACATGCCAACATGTAACTCTACCCCATTTACCTGTTTTTTTGTTTTGGATATGTATAAATAGAGGGTATACAAATAAAGAAAAACAACCATTTTTTTTGCGGTGCCTTGCACAGAATCGGCAAAAGTTTGGGAGTAGGCAGGGCAGAGCAGGCAATAATTTTAATACCGTGGTTTTTACTTTGTAACTCTGCAACAGAAAGCCATCGCCACTAGGCCAAATTCAAGCAGTCTGTCAGTTGCTTCAGACACGAGTCTGTCGCTGGCAGCCAAGTGCTCCCTGACTGTCGGCGTTGGTGTTTCATAAAGCGACGCATGTGGCAGCCACAACCAACAATTTAGTTCGTCGTTTTTTTTTTTCCGTTTTTGTTTGTCGGTTTCTTCTTTCGATTGAAGCAAGTGCTAAATATCAGAAATATAAAACGCCAATAAATATTTGATATAAACACGAAATCAACAATATCAACAACGACGCGTTATAGTTTCTGTTTTCTGTATGCCCCAGCCTGTTGAGCATGCAGGTAACATCAGTATCCGTAACGCCAACGTCCACGACTCAGCCGCTGGCCCAGAGTCGAGCAGCAGCAGCAGCAGCAGGGTTTAGCTGCTTGTCGATGGCACAGATTGGACATGGAAACCGTCAGATTTGTCTCACAACAGTGGAAATTGCATCCATAGAAGCCACTAGACGCCGCCTGCTCTTGCACAATGCCCGAAATCCCAGATTGATGGCATTACCATCGTCCCCGTTACTTACTGACAACGTATCGCTCGGCTCAAGCTCTGCGTTTAGTGATTATGATGCTACGAGTAACAGTCCGAAAATCGTTGTTGCTGCCCCAGATGTCGACACCAGTTCCAACAATGCACTCAGCGCCAATTTCCAATGCAACGACTTGGAATGCTCGCTGAGGTTGGCTGACTACGCGAAGGGTGAGTCGAATTCTAGCATTTCTGTCTGGTATTTTTGTGATTTCTTGCGTAAGTCATTAACTTTTACAAAATGGTTGGACCTCTTACTAAAGATGGGGTTTTCATTCACGATTCACGTTTGCCAAGGCGCACAAAATATTAAAGACATTGTTCGAATAACAAAATCTATGTATGTATGTATACATTGTGGTTTTTGTTGTTCTTCTAATCTTTGGCATCGTGGCAAGTTTTGTGAATATAAATTGTAAATTGGTAAAATTTGACCAATTTGCATGGGGTAGCGAGTAGAAAATTCAGCCGCATTGTATAAAATATCGTGAACAAATGTTTTAATTGCAATTTACATTTATAAGTATTTTGTGTTAAAAATACGGTTGTATAGTCTGAATAAATGCATGGGGCAACATCTAATCAGTGTCGGGCCGGTTAGTGAATGAGTGAGGGAGGATAGTGGACGGGATTTTCGTGTTACCTTGAGAGTCACGGCGACTTGCCAAAATAGAAAACACATAAATATTGTGATCAAGATCATTGCCGCCTGCTCTTGGTGACATAATGCGATGCTGGGACGCTTGCCTGACGCTGACAAATTTCATGACACCTGTTTGGTATGTGTCCAACAAGAGCAACAGCAGCAACAACAAAAGAATCAACTGCGATAGCAGAAACAAGATAGATCTTGCTCGTTGTGGATAGATCGCGTCAGTGATTTACCCTTTATAACCCATGGGTTTGCAACATTTGCTGTCTTCATTCAAGTTCTGTTCATAATCAACATAATGCTAAGGTATATTTTCCCGTATAACAATACATATATCTTTTTGAAATTGTGGATATTTCATATGAAAATCGATTTTTTAGAAAGTAATCGCTGCTATCGATAAACATAATATGCGTTTGGCATTCAAGAACTGTTTTTAAACTGCACCCATTTAGAATATACAAATACATTTATTAATTGATAATTGGCTCCAGTTCGTTATACCCATTGTTGTACGGCGTACAGGGTATAACAAGCACCGCACAGTCGCACGTTCCATCATAAAAAATACAAAAACATTTGTGACTAATTAATTGATAGTATCAATTGACGCTGCTTTTTCTTTTGGCCTACTGATCGGGTCAGACAAATGTGAATTTTATTTGTTGATTTTTTTTTTATGTAGTTTTGTAGTCTTTGACACAACCCGTTGCCGTATCCAAGGGTGGTTGCATTTTATTTGGCATTGTTTGAATTTGAGCGTGAGTTGAATTCATGGCAGGACTACCTTGCAGCGTTCCTCTTGGCATTACGGACAGCGATAGCGACTAGCGACTAGTTTTGTTTATTTGTTTATAACAGTTTGGGCTCGAGTGCGACGTCAACGGCTCAGAGCGGCTCAGTTGATTTTGTACAACGCGACGAAACGCCGCATAAAATGTTGCTAATAAGCGCGCTGTGAAAATGAGTTAGAGGCTATTGCATAAGCCAAGCGGAGCCAAAACGGAGTTTAAACGGAGCTGCCTTTGCCACACTCAACTGCTCAAAATAATAATAATCATAATAATACAAATAATATTAATAATAATGATAATAATAATAATAATAATATGAATGAAGTGGCAACCGTGCAGCAGCATTCGACGTTTTATTTATTTATTTATTTTTTGTTGTACAGTGACTCACATTTAATATGATCTGACCAACAAAGTCAAAGAGAAGCACCACAAGTCGGAACAGGGTGTTTCAGGCGCAGCTAGTGTATGATGGACTTCAATGGATTCGGCGGTGGTCGCGTGCAGTTTCTGCAGGCCCAGCTGTTTCCCGTCTGCACACTAACAACTTCCAGTGGAGGTAAAATGTATCTAATAAACACATATTTACATACATGCACACATGCATATAAGTACTACATACGAGTAGCTTCGATGCTAATTAAGTGTGTGAACTTCAATAATTGTGTATGAATTACGTTTAATGACCAGGTTTTACTTTATTATTAGTTTAGTTTCCCCATCCATCGTTGAACCATGGTGATTTATTTTAAAAAATAAGTGAAGCACGTTTTTATTTATTCAACTCTATAATCAATTATTAATAGCTTTGAGAATAATCTTGTTGTGTTTTATCATTTTTATGGAAGATTTTTTAACACAAGTCATAGTTTGTCGCAAACAGTTTTAGGACCAAAGATATTGCTCATTTAAGGATTGTTTTCATATATCGTATCTGTAATGGTCTCTACTTTTATCGCATTTGTCGAGCGCAACAAGTGCAGTTGGGCTTTCTTTCCATTAATTAAACAGCATTTGTTTTGGCTGTGCGGGTTCTTTTGTGTGAAACCTTGATTAATGGTTGGATCTATAAGTGTCCAAGTAGATCGGAGCAAATTTCATTTCTCCAGATTTTTTTGCTTTGGGTAACATAATTAATCTTATTATTAAAAGTTTTTGAAAACTGTTAATTTTAAAAAATGGAATTTTAAAAATCATTTTTAGCAAATGAAAATTGTTGAGCAAAATTGCTGTTTTCATATTAACAGTTTACATTTTTTATTTTAGCCTTACAAAATATAATTCATAGACTAATAGAAAGAGAGAAATCTTAATATATATATATATATATACTCACATTTAATTATCTAATGGTTCTTTTGATTTTGGCTCTAGGAATTGATTGTCTAAGGGTACCACGATATAATTGCTGCTTTTGTTGGAAACTGTACCGGATAATAATCAATGTATTCCCAGTGTAGCAGTTTACAAAGTCGTTGTTCTAGGAAAACTGATTAGGCACCGTGCTCGATGTGGTTGGTTGATGATTCACATTTAGTCGTTGATTATGTCCTAGACGGCAAAAACTGCGCTAAAATAAAAAGATCAAGATAAAGATGCAGGGAATTAGGGTTAAGTCAAGTTGAGATATGTTTTCGACATTGCACCATTCTGTTCTCGCTGTTATGACAACGGCAAACAATGCTATTAACACAATTACTAAATTGATGTCGATTGTTATTTCGCTTAACTAAATGTCTGTCTGTATATTAAATATTCATTAGCCGACAAATGCTAAGCAGAATTGAGACCCATCTAGCTTGCTAGCAAGATAGGATAACCCAACTGACCCAAATTGTTTCATGTTCTTGAACTCTGTACCAATATTATTATATTAAAGCACTGCGGACGGCAAAGCCTTTTATTTGCCATTGTTGGGTTAGTCATTGAACATACAATGTATATGTGAATGGCATACAATATTCGATAAAGTTGATAGCCATTTAGAAATGGCTTGAAAATGCTTGAACAAACAAAGAACTTAAATGCGCCGTATTTCGAATCTATATATTTATTTGGAATTTGAACACCTTGCAAGGCATTGACCGAATGTTTCGCCAATTTTGTAAACAAAATGCTTTAAGTAATACGGATTGTTCAAGTATTTGATAGACACACCGACAAAAAAGATCATGTCATTGATTCTTGCATATGCCATTGCAATTAGTCGCCTGCGCATTTAAACATACAACAATTTAATTCATGAATTCAATGCATCCAAGATATATAGAGAGTGAGAGAGAGAGAGAGAGAGACAGAGTGAGTGAGATAGAGGGAGACAGACTGTGATTAAAAGATTTTCTCAATTAAAGCGTTGTCTCTTTGGTTTTACTTATTTCTTGGCGCTGTAACCAATCATATTTTATGGGAGCGTTTCAAAACCGTATACTTAATATTCGGATAGATATTTACAACTCCCAAAATAAAACACACAATTTTAAATGGGCTAATGCGGCACTGTGAGCAGCTCTATCTTTTGAAATGTAACTCATCCGAAATGCAATGTCTTTTCCCAAAATGATATAAATAAAATTGCCTATGTCGACTCTGCTCTTATGAATATGCAACTTTGTGAAAACGTTTTTATTTTTACAATTTTGAAATTTCCAAACACAGTGGCGGACAGAAGTCTACGCTCGACCTAGTTTCTGCATACCCTGTACCAATTTCCGTCGGTGTGTCTGTCTGTCTGTCTACCTCAGAGACTTCTTAATGGGGAGCACCAATATCCGAATAAATCTAAATTTTCAACATATATATTGACAGCGTTTTTCTTTTTTTACAATAGCGTCTCCAGAATACTAGATAAATATCGATATTTTATCGAAAGATTTTAAATAGTGAAAAAACTAGTAGAAAATTTGTATTTGAGTGGTGCTTAAAAGAGCAGGAGCGCAGCTGTTGCCTACAGGGTATCTCCCTGTCGGGGGACTCATTCGTTTGAATATGCTGTATTTATCTTTTGCTTGAGATCGACGCGGTCGTTCAGACGTCTGACTGACGGACAAACTGACATCTTTAGATCGACACAGTTTATTGTCCATGTGTTGTATTATTTTATATTCCGAACAGATGATTGCAGTTTAATGAATCTTTATACATATTTTTATGTTTTTGGCCAACATATATAAACATGCTATTTAACAAAGGCGAATAAATTCGTGTCAGTTGCAGTTGAATGTAATTATAATTTAAGTCAACGTGGTTTGTGTGTGAATTAAACAATTTGAATATTTTTCAGTCATATCCAAGCACAAAATGCGTATATAGTATTTACCAATATTTACGCGATATTTTTTTTGTTTTGCTTCTTTTATTTATTTTATTTTTTTTTTTAATATGATGATCAACCTGATGTTGTCTGCATTTTAGCTCCTCTTGAAATTGAAGCACACTTTCTCTGCATTCAGCTGAGATCTGTGCATCGCATTCTAGTTTCAATGCCTCTTTTTAAGTTCAAGTGCGAGCCAAAAGCTTCGCAATGTTTGCCGCGTTAGTGTCAAAGCTCGCCCACAACTAGCCAAATGTGCAAGTTTGGCAAGAGCAAGTGCGAAGTGAAAGCTTTGCAGTTGCGGTATTTCTATCTCTGTCATCGCCATAAATAATATTTGCTGCCACTGTCGTCGCCGACGCCTCTCGTTTTCTTAGCCCATGGCTGCGGCACGAACGAAGTGGTCAGGAAGGGGGAAGGCCGGGGCAGGAGCTGAGACGCCAAGTGGCAAGCGGTGAGCTGCATGTATTGACGTCGACGTCGACGTTGTGGCGTGAAAAGATTCAACATATTCATACATTCACATTCATTCACTCGATTTTCGGTTTTAGTCAACAACAAAACGCGCAACCAGCAACGTCGCCCGACGACAATAATAACAAATCAAATCAGCCGATATATAGCAACTCGATTTACGAAGTGCCACCTACGAAGTGTCTCTTTTTGTTCTGTTTCTTTTTAGTTGATTTTTGTTTTGAACAAAATTTAAAAACAACAAAAATCCGTTTCGCGTCTTTAACGTGGGCATAAAGACTTTCGGCCATACATATCGTTTCAAAATTGTAGCGGTTCTCGTCTCTTTTGTGTTTATCAGAATTTTGGGCAACAAACAGTTGCATTTGTTTTGCCGTTTGCCGTTTGCCGTTTGCCATTTGTTACATTTTTCAACTGCAAACGTTTTTTGTTTTTTGTGCTAGAATTCAGCTGGTAAGCCACTTGGGGATAACGAGAAAGAAAAATGAAAATTATTGTCGGGATGCCAAAGTAGAAATGCCCACGCAGATATATGCTGGCTAATGCTAATGATTTAGTAGATTTTGATCCAGTGTTTGTCAACATGTTAAGACCATAAACACACTCGCACTCGCACTCGCACTTGCCGCAATGGGATAATCAATCTTTTTATTTTTCGAAAACAACTAGTCTCTCATGTGTATGTACATTAGCCCAAATTTCGATAGATATTCCAATGACATACAGATATTTGTGTATATTATATAAATTTATATATGCATCCGTTTCGACCGGCTCCGCAATGTATACCAAAATTCGATAACTTCTAATCGAAAATCCAAAAAAATTTGGACCATTAACATGAATTTATCAATTTGTTTATTTATTTGCTAGAGCTCTTCGTGGCGACAGTCAAACTGCTTAATCCAATTAACCCATTAATCGAAGTATTTTTTTATTGCTTTCTAGCGCACAGCGCAACGTCAACATTCTGAAAAATACTTGGAATAGTACTATAAAGCTGAATATTGCAACTACATAAATTCTACTTTGTCTCAAGCTAGAAATATTTAATTAATTATTAAGAAAGACATGGCTAAATGTATTACACAGCTTCAAACCTTTAACTTTCGAAATGATCGCATCATTTTTCAGTCATAAGAAAGACCGTAGAATTTGAAAAATTTCCTATCCTCTGCCTTGGTTGTTAGCTCAGATAAATTATGTATTTCAGAAGGTTCAAATTTTGTATGTTGCATTCTTACTTGTTGATTATCTTTAGGCATTGGTTGTGCGGCGTCATTCGCATGAATTGTTTGAATAAATACGAAGTTACGTGAGTTTTGGGCGGTTATTCTTCCGTTTCAAATAGCACACATCTGGCTCTATATGAAATAGACAAAAATTCGTCGAAATACGCTACGTAAATAATTACGATATATATAAAAAATAAAAACTAACTTCAGTGAGTCAAGCTCAAGCGCAAAAATCGATGTCTCCTTCTGTTCCTTACCAGATATTTGCGCAATATTTTTTTAATACCCTTTTTATGATTTTTGTTGTTCAAAGGTACCAAGTCAGAGTACACTGAAAGAAATCAACCTAAACGAAGTTGAAAGTTGCAGATAAAATGCTTTGATGCATTTGGGCAATTTATGAGTTCGAGTGTACATTATTTATTCCTACGAGAATGCTTATTGTATATTTAAATACATGTAAGTTTAATTTTAATCTCTATTTTAGCAGGCTTCCTTGGCAGTTTCCTATCGAAGGGTCTGAAAACAAATCAATTGGTTGTTAACACGGATGAAAAAACATTAAGACCAATTGCACGATTAAAGGAACCACGCGATCTATTCGCACTGCCTAAGGACAAGGACAATGACTGCTCACAGCAGGCCCCCAGATGGCCGGTAGAATGCCAGGTGAGTTGCTCACAGTGTATGCCCATATGTTTGTGTACATTTGCATATTCGAAACGCTCTGAGTAGGTGGGAAGAGATAACTTTTCGATAAAGCAGCATTGTCCTCCCATTCGTTGTCTCTTGTCTCGGGGTAGGCATATCAAATTGCCCCAACGTGTCGGGTGTCGTTATTGGAAACTTTTGTTTCCTCTGATATGTATTTTTTTTTTGTTTTTTTTTTTTTTTTGGCTCTTAGCTTACAGGTTTTCTTAGAAAGTTTTTGCTTGGCGACTAAGTAAATAAATATTTAATATATATAGGTCACATGCAATATTCTATGCCGTTATATCAATTATAAGCATGAACGCTTCAGTCTCTTTAACCAGGATTGAAAAAGTCATTGACATATTGGTGATCACATTTATCCGCATACGTATATGCAAATATGTACCTAAATTGTACAGTTCTTTTAAATTTTAAAATAAAATAATAAATTTAAATTTGACGAAAGAAGTATTTTTAGTTGTAGTAGCAAGATGGTCGTCACCCTTTCTAAAACAATATATGTACACTATTGTGGAACATTCAGTTTAAAACTGAATTTGAATTCAATTTGAACTATAAACAATTTTGAGTGTAACGTAGAAAAGCGTAAGATAACAAACTTCGAATAAAATTCTTGATGTTAGCAGATAAAATCGATAAATGCTTATATATATCCGTTATAATCGTTCTTTCGTGATTTAAATCTCAGGAGATTATTAGGCATCTAATCTTCAAATGTGTGTTGGTAACTGGGTACAGGGTATCATCTACTAGTCAGTCCCTCCTCTCGTCATTCGATAAATATCGATTTCGAATCTCTTTTGGACATATGTAAATACATATGAAGATGAATGTTCTCTTAGTTCTTTATAACTGACATATGTACATACGTTCTGAGTGAACTGAATTCAAATTGTGTATTTCACTTTTTAGGTGATTGGGGATCGTATTATACACATTCCCTATGTGCCGGCGCAGCCTGAACCGCTAAATGTGCCAACGGGCAATGAGCTGAAGCCGCGTCCAGTTGGTGAGGAGAATGGCATCGTTGTCTTTACCTATTGTCCCATAAGTGCTGTTAACTATGTGAGTACTCATCATCATCATCGCAATCATCATCAATATTTCTTGTGATACTTTAAAGCATGCACTGTCGGCACAGTCACACACACACACACACAACAGAGTTGGGAGGGCAGCGATAAGGTTTTTGGGGCATTTGGGCGGCAAGCTAATTAAATTGACTTTCAACAACCTAACAGGAAAAGACAAATACCAAAGCCAAGACAGAGGACAAGTCCAGCGAGGATTCGGATGACTCTTCGGACTCTAGAAATGATATTGTACCCATCAATCGCAGGGTGAATCAACATGCTGGTGGAAAAGGCCAGATGAATAGAATTTCTAAGATCATAAATAGTCTGGATGATCGCTCCACGAGCAACTCTCAGGACGATGACGATGATGATGATGATGATGACGACGACGACGATGACTGCGATACGAGTGGGGAAGGAAAAGAGGCGATTGAGAGATTAGCCATCCAAAGTCTTATCGATGCCAAGAAGAAACGATTTGCAATTCCCATCAATGATTCGGACGGCAGCAAAGGAGACAGCAAGTCAACCAGTAAGGATGCCAGCGAAATTGATGATATTTGGAAGAACAATAGCACCGAGTACAAGCCGGCCTCGCCCCACTACGTGCTCAGTCAGTTTGGCAAGAAGGTATCGAAAGCAATAATTGAGAAGATTATCGAGCACGACGAGAAACCCTCAACATTCGCCGGCAGCTCCACCTCAAGCAAGGTACAAAATATAAAATATGCCGTTTCCCCAATCAAACTACCCAAAACGAACATAACGCGTTTGGAGGTGGCTCTAGAAAGTGGTCCACACCAATCCTACCATAAAAAGAGCAGTGTGGATGGTGACACGGCAACAAAGGGTGAACTACCAATTGATCGTCTGACCGGTGGCGCTGACAAGCGTCCAGCTACCAGCTCTGGGTCCGTATCAGATACGGATACGCTAGTGGGAGATGAGAGCCTGTTGAGGCTTGCCACATGTAATGAACAATGAAAGTGTTAATTAGAGATCAGCACGAGTCGAAATCACTGTGTGCATTTGCCATATTTTAGTTTCGGCCAATTACAATAGTGTGTATGTGTGCTGAGCAATAAAAAGCTCTCCATTCTAAATGCAAGCGTAGCGCATGAAAGCACAAAAAAGCTTTCTCGTGTACATGTGAAAGCTCGATCAAAAGCTTGGCTTGGCCGGCACTAATCTAGCTAGATGGTCAGACAAGTTAATAACATAACAAGAAGTCTACGCGACAAGCAATTTATGCTTATGTATACCCAATAAGGGCGTTTCCACATCAATATCTGCATTTCCGTTTTAATATTACACAAATGAAGTATGTTTCAGAAATGGAAACTCGAACTTACATTTTTTTATTATTTTTTTTTTTTTTTGTATTTGTAATCATTATTTTTTGCACACTCCTTACTTGTGACCAGTGATCAAGCTACAGATTCAGAAGATTTCGCTCGTGCAGACATCTAATTCCACATTGAGAAAGAGAATTTGTTTTACTTTTGTTTTTATATAAGTAGAATTAAATACAACCGTCACAGCAGCAACAAACGATGATAAAAAAACATTGGCATTGCCTTGTGTGAGCATGGCGGCAGCGGTGGCAGCTGTTGCAAGGAATCGCCGTCGAGGCACTGAAGCGTTGTTGCAAGCGTCAAGCTTTGAAGTTGGGGTTACTCATTCGGGTACCAGTAGCACCAATACGAGCACCAATACGGGCACCAATACGAGCACCTATGAAATGCCCAATGCGAGGCCCTGTCCAGAGATAATTATTAATGAGAAGACATCTTTTCAATCTCCATCTCTTCCCAATGATCCATCACAAATGCAGTTTAGTCGCTCGGCGGTGGGCGGTGCCAAATTTGTGACCAACTGCCATCCCATGAACGCCGAGGAGTACGATAGCCTGGAGTTTGAGTCGCGCTTTGAGTCCGGCAATCTGGCGAAGGCTGTGCAGATCACACCCACCTACTATGAGCTCTATTTGCGACCCGACCTCTACACCAGCCGTTCCAAGCAGTGGTTCTATTTTCGCGTTCGTCGCACTCGCCGCAACATGCTCTATCGTTTCTCCATTGTCAATCTGGTTAAGTCGGATAGTCTTTATAACGATGGCATGCGACCGGTCATGTACTCCACACTGGGTGCCAAAGAGAAGAACGAGGGCTGGCGGAGATGTGGCAATAACATATCATACTACCGCAACGATGACGAGTAAGTGTACACATTTATCAGCATGCGCTCAACATCATATATATCCCACATATACCATTTGAAAGCAGCAGCAACAATGCCAATGAAGAGGACGAGGATAACTCAAGCTACACACTGACTTTCACCATTGAGTTCGACCATGACGATGATACAGTGTATTTTGCCCATAGCTATCCGTACACCTACAGCGATTTGCAGGTAAAGATCAAAATTCGCTCATTCCATTGTCAACCATTATAATTATGATCCGTTTGATTGCAGGATTATCTCATGGAGATACAGCGTCATCCCGTCAAATCAAAATTTTGCAAACTTCGCCTTCTCTGCCGCACACTAGCTGGCAATAATGTCTATTATCTGACAGTCACGGCGCCATCCAGCAACGAGGACAACATGCGTGTAAGTTAAAGTCGTTTCACTCATAAAACAAGTAAATCTCAATCGGTTGAAACTCTAAACGAATTCTATATTCGCTTACAGAGTTCAAGTTTCAGTTAACGTTCTCGTTTTATAGCATTCTTGCAATTGAATTTAATTTATTAGCTTACCTTATATTTTTTGTTTTTAGTTTAACAATTTTAGCAGCGCGAGTTCTTTAAAAACTGCAAAAATTGCACAACAATTCTAAGTAACTTAAAAAAATAATATGATGATTAGATAAGATAAAAATCGTCTCACTTACACGTGTAAATACTTAAACACTGTCTGTGTTCAAGCTGGTATACGATAACCTATATTCCACATTTGATGTATTTAGTTCTCAGACATCAGATAAGATATTCATACAGACTGACATGGCTAGTTCAACTCATGTGTTAAAGCTAGTCAAGAATATATGCAGATTATGGGATCGAAGATGCGTCCTTCTGCCTGTTATATACTTTTGAACAACTTCATTGTTCGCCTTTTGCCAGTTTTTAGTTTGTTCAGGTTCAACGTAACATCATGGAAAGGCTTGTAGTCGACCCATTTGTATCTCTATATCTATCATTATAATTGCCAAGTTTTTATATATCTCTTTTGCTCAAATGCAAGATGTTTCTGGCCACCTGTAATTAGCTGATATTGCATTGATATCAGAGTATTTCGCATTGAGTTACGTCCGACTTGAATGTTCTCACATATTGTTTCAAACTTTTGTATTGTACCACTGTTCAAGGTAAATCAATACCTAACCGTACACAGTTAAAAAGTTTGACAAAACACTGGTAACATCGCTATAACCTTGCTTCTAATATATATCAGAATTTTTCTTTTAAAAATCGATCTAAGAGAATTTTTAAATATTACCAAACTTAAATCGATCTAATTTTATAATTGCATTTGTGCTCCATGAACTGACAGCGTAAGAAATCAATTGTGGTATCGGCACGCGTGCATCCCAGCGAAACGCCATCGTCGTGGATGATGAAGGGTCTGATGGACTTTATAACGGGCGATACGACAGTTGCGAAGCGACTGCGTCACAAATTTATCTTTAAACTGGTGCCGATGCTAAATCCGGATGGAGTCATTGTCGGCAACACACGCAACTCGCTAACTGGCAAGGACCTGAATCGTCAATATCGAACTGTCATACGAGAGACATATCCATCAATTTGGTATACAAAAGCCATGATTAGAAGGTAGGCCGCTCGATAAATATAGTCGTAGTCGTAGTCGTAGTCGTAGTCGTAGTCCCAATCAAGAGATCTACAAATTCAACTCAAAATTCCAGACTGATTGAAGAATGTGGTGTGGCCATGTATTGTGATATGCACGCACATTCACGCAAGCATAACATATTCATATATGGTTGTGAGAACAAGCGTAATCCGGAGAAGAGGCTCACGGAGCAGGTCTTCCCATTGATGCTGCACAAGAACAGTGCCGATCGGGTGTGTTTTGTCTATGTCCCACCACTATGCACTCATCTGTTTAATTGATTTTTATGCATATTTTTTTGTGACATTTTGTGATAGTTCTCCTTCGAAAGCTGTAAGTTTAAGATACAGAGGAGCAAGGAAGGCACTGGACGCATTGTTGTTTGGATGCTGGGCATCACGAATAGCTACACGATTGAGGCATCCTTTGGCGGATCTGTGCTCGGCTCGCGCAAAGGCACCCACTTCAACACACAGGTAATATTTTCAACATTTAGATGGCACGAGAGCAGTGTTTTAACTGGGATTTTGCAGGATTATGAGCACATGGGACGCGCATTTTGTGAGACGTTATTGGACTATTGTGATGAAAACCCGAACAAAGTAAAGCGACATGCTAAACTATTTAAGCAAATTAAAAAGATAAGAAAACGCGAGAAACGCGAACAGAAAGCATTAAAATTACAAAAAATGGCCGATCAGGGATGTATACTAAGCGATAAATTGAAAGTGAAACGTTCTGTGGAGAAAAGTGTATCCTAAGAATTGTGTTCCTTCACTCACATAACACACATAAACACACATTTGCAAATACACGCTCGCATACAAACGGACAGACAGACAGACAGACAGACAGACAGACAGACAGACAGGCAACCATCCCTACACAAAAACCGCCAGCAAATCGCTTTTTACTGAATGTTTGGGTATATTTGTAAATTGTTGTTGTGTGCTGCTGTTGTGCCGATTACTCCCCATATAAAATACATAATACAAAATTAAGAATGGTGAATGGAGACTACGCTAAGCAGAGATTTCAAATATACATCTATATATCATATGTGTATTGTTGCCAAAGTTCTGAATTTAAATGCTCTCTATCGCTAATCGCTGGTTTTCTCATTTTTTTTCTTCTTTCTAAAACGTCCTAGTTTAATAGTCATCAGCACTAAATGTATTAAATCGATATATCTAAATTCTAACAAATTTGTTTCACTACAAAAATACATGTGTATATTTGTATATACATACATACATGCGATATATGTATGTATATATGTTTAATATATAATGTATGTTTAGCAATAAGCACAGGCAACAGAGCACCGTAAGGCACATGAGTAATTGTCGTTAATATTCTTTTTATTATTTTATTATTATTATTATTATTATTATTACTTAAGTAGTACGTTTTGTAGCTCGCCTTTGACAACATGCAGTACACTGTATAATATTTGACTGAATAAAAACAATTGTCGTAGTTAGTGGCTATTATTGTTTACATGATTTTTATATGTTTTCAACCAGCTTTGCCAACTTTTATATATTAACACACTTAATTCATTTCAATAATAATATTCTTTTTGTTCGGCATAATTTGTTAAAGTTCACTAATCCTAATGCATTAACATTAAAAATAGATTTTAAATTTACTCAAACAACAGGAAAGACTACGCTCCAAAATAATCGAAAGACTGATGCGCGAAGGATCTAGCGCTGATGAACCATTAAACATACCGCTTTCGGATTACTCCAGGTAGGATTTATCCAACTAACCCGACAACCATCCATTCCATTACAGTACATAACATAAATTAAGACATATGACATATGTATGTATGTATGTATGTATGTGTGTGTGTGTGTGTATGTATTTGTCTGTGTGTGCCTGTATTTTCAAATATATATAGATTTTATTTTTAGTTGTTTAGTTTTAATGCATATACAATTATTAATTTGTTGTGAGCATCTGTTCGACAAATAAGATGTTTGTCATAAATTCTGCCGTATGTATAAACTGGACGTTGTTATTTTTATATATATTATATAAGCCAAGAACATTATTATAATGATTAATATGTCAATAACATTTAATTGGTATATAACATAGCATTTAATGGGAATGGATCGACGTTGTTTAGAAATTTCTTGGTGCATACTTTAAAGCTTAAAGATATTTGTTCTTTTAAGTTAGATATAAAAAGGAATGCTAAAAACTTTGCACGTTTCGAGTGTTTTTTCTTCAAATTGCACACATTTCTTTTTATTTTCTTGCTTGATCGAAAAACATCTTACAGATAAATTAATACACATTTTTAGGTTGGCTGAAATGTTGAACAATTGGATTAACTCACTTTCACTTAGACCATAAATGGAAAGTACAGTGAGCAATGTTTTGAAGCTTTCGACTTTCTGACTGTTACTACCCACTACTACATTAACACCACTTCTCTCCAAATTGTTCACCCAAAATAACTCATAATATGCTTGTAATACTTTTGCAACGTAGCGACGAAGGCAACTGCAGTTCCAGTTCCGATAACGAGGGCAAACATTCGATTACTGCCTCAGATCTGGAAGGTCCTTGCTGTGCGCCAATACGTGCACCGCCCAGTTCGCCCGAGGTCATGCACGAGATTCGGAAGGTAAGTGGTCAAGTGGTCAATGTAGATATTATTTGTAGTCCGTCCAGCAAAAGCGCACCCCAAACCACCCACCTCATACACTTCACCTGTAGTTTCGAGTGCGTCGCATGCACAAGGTGATGCATGTCTTGGACCAAATCTACTTTTCACCGGTGCTCCAGCGTAAGTTCAAGGCACTGGCGCGCCTGAAGCGTCGTCGTCATGATTTGGATGGCAAGGTGACCGGTACAAAGCGTACGACTGCCGGTGCCACTGGACCCCGTTCACCCAGCGACAGTCTCAATGCGAAGCTAGCAAGTAGCGAGACACGCCAATACACACAGATCACAACAAAGTTGCCGGCCTCAGATTGTTCCAATGGCAGCAATGGATCCCAGTCTTCGGATGTATTGACAGATGCCAGCACGACGGAGACCAATCAGTCCACCAAACCAAAGAAGCAGCATGCAACCCAAACCCGCAAGCGTCAAAGGCCAAAAAAGAAGCACATGCCCACAGAAAATAGCAAAACGCGTGCATTCAACCGCAAGACGCGCATCAATCGCAATTTGCGACTTTGGCTGGCCAATCGACGCATTTTTATTTTTCGCAGCAAGAAGGTAGCTAGACACAAGATGCACAGTGCACCACACACACACACAAAACACAATCGAAGAGTGCTCTTCGGCTTGCATGGATTAGACACTTAGAATACAGTTCCAATCCACAACTTTTAAGCAACAGCAACCTGCTCTTGCAAACAAGTGAGTGGGTTGGAGTCGGGCATTATTGACTACGGAATACTCTGATTATTACAGGTAGCAAGTAACTTTCTTGTGGCTGTGTCTCGGCCATTGAATAGTCTTAAATATGTTTTTCAAATTGGATAGCCCAATTTCTAAAATTGCGGCAGACTTTGGCCTTTGGCGACCAAGAAATTTTCCTACCACTCCCAGGGGAAGTAGCGTGGTCGATGCCGATAGTCGAATGACGTCGTAAATCAGAAATAATAACCAAATTCGCTGATTCTAGCTTTAAGATTTTATAGTTTATCGTTGTGCGATTATCGCAATAAGCCAAAATGCTTTCATACCTTCCATAAAAGAGTATAAAAATAGTACAGAAATTCGTAATTAGTTTAACCTGCCAATAAATGGGTAAGGTTCTGGTCTGATAGCAAAGTCTGAAGAGTTATATATATATATTTATATATATATTTAAAATATTTGTAAAATATTTTGAAATCCTTTCTCTTGTTTAGAATCGGCGTCAACGGGTTCGCAGTAAGCCACTGAAGAAGCGTGGCGAAGTGGTGCGCACCGCACTTGATTTGCCCACGACAGATCCGGGCTCTGATTTGCATTTCTCCACAGACGACGAGGAGCTGCTGCCCACAGGCAACGTGGCGTTTGGAGCGGTGGCTCCACTGCGTCACACCTTGCTCCAGAGTGAGCTGCAGCGGCGATATATCGAGGAAATTGGCGATATGGTGGTGCAGAAGCCCAAGCAGGCACATATGCCGCCCGAATTGATTGTGACCACGCCCTCGAAGAGTAGCGCTGGCGGCGGTGTTAAAAAGCTGGAAGTTTACAAGCTGACGCCACGGACAGCGCCCGAGCAGCAGGGAGGCCTTCAGCTGCATAGCCAGAGCAATGCCACTGGCGCCCGACGTACTTACTCCTGGCATAATCTCAACCAGGATAGCGGACATGCCAGGCCCAATTTCTATATTAACGATGCCAAGCCGTCCGTGAAGATCCAGAAGGCGCCACCACGACGGTAAGTCATGCCCACAACTATAGACTATAGATTAGTTTGACTAATTTTGGCTAATGACTACCCTGCAGCAGTGTGCCGAGCAACTTTATACCACTTGGCCAGCAGCGATATGCCAATGCCGATGATCTGCATCTGAAATTGTCGCTGAAGAAAAAGATTTGGACGGGTGCCAACGGTGACAATGATGGCAGACCGCTTGCTTGGTACAAGGGTCATCAATCCCAGACCCATGCCCATGTGGCAAGCGTAATGGCAACTGCAGCGGCGGCAGCAGCGCTTCGCAACGCTGGCGGTGCACAAACTCGCAACATGTTTGCCGGCAGCAACAAGGATCCGTTAGCAACAACGGCAGCAGGTGTTGGTATCGGTGCAGGTGCAGGAGCAACAACGTCGACAGTTTCAGCCACATTGCCACCCGCCTATATGGGTGCGCCACGCAGGTCACGCAAATTGGAGCAGGTGGATTTGTTCAAGTAGGTCAACGTCAACGTCAAACTTCTCCAACTCAAACACGGCCAAAAGTCGAAATTATCAAATATAAAACTGCTGACAAGTCAGCTCAGAACGATTGTTCATATGGGAACATATATATATATATATGTGCTTCGATCGAATTGGATTAGCTCGACTTTAATTCTTTTCTTCATTTCTCTTTCTTTAGTGCCTGCTCGCAAAAGCTGCTAATGTGGCAGCAGGAGCACAAGAGCAAAATGCAGACATCGAATGCACGACTGATGGGCGGCAACAGCGGTAAGCTGGATGCACAGGAGCCGCCGCAGATTCTGATGCGTGGCTGTAAGCCAAAAAAAAATGTGAAAACCGTTGGCGGCGGCGGCGGCAACGATGTCGTCCACGTGAATATATCTAGTGTGAGCGGCAAGGGTAAGCGCAAGTCGAGCATGATTAAGATTGCCGAGACGACTCAGCTGGTGACGCGATTCTCTCGGACGCATGCCAGCGCTGGTGGTGGTGCCACACTAGCCAATGCCAATACAAATACAACAAATGCCAATGCCAATGCCAATCATCAGATGACACAGATGCAGCGCTTGATCTACAAGAGCAGCGACCATCATCAGCAGCATCATCATGCTGGCTCCGTCTCTGCCACGGCAAGTGGCATGCAACGCACAACTAGCAAGTTTAAGACTGGTGGCATTGTCGTCACAGCCGTACAGCAATCAACGGTTAATCATGCGGCACCCGTTGGCGCTGCTGGCGTCTCCAGGCGAATACGACATGCCCACGCCCACACCCACAGCCACACCCATGGTCATATGGGGCACACACACACGCACAATGCCGGACTGATTATCAAGGGCAGCTGCAACGGTGCCGCCGACAACATTCTGCAATATCGCAATGCGAACGCGCTGCAGGCGAACAAATCAACGACAGGCTTCTCCCTGGACACGGTCAGCCTGGTGCGCAAGGTGAAGACCAAGTTGAAAAAGCGCAAATCTCGAACGCTGGCAAATGCTGCTGCTGCGAAGGCCAAGTGAATTCACTTCTTGGAGTGTCCTCCATAGACAGCGTAGAGATTTAGGATTAGTATACCCGGACATTCCCCCGACTTCCTTGACCGACCGTTTTGCTCCCTGATATTGGAAAATAAGTTCATGTACTTTCGTTTGGATATACATATATACATATATATAATTTTTTTTTTTTTTTTGCCTTTAAGCCAAATTTTAGTCAAATATAAATTTGTTATACAGTCGAACGTTGCTATAGAATTGTGTTCAATCAAGTACAAAGAAAGTTGCAAATGATTTGCATGTTCTGTGCGACTTCACTGTAGCGAGGTTCGACTGTACTGCGCCAAAATAGCGTTAGCGTTAGCGAATAATGAGCGCGATTAGCAAAATGTGCTTAGCTAAATTTCCATTACGTGTAATGTACAGTAATAATATGTTTGAATGTATTGAATATTTCATAATTTAGCGCAATCATTTGGCCCACAATTTTTCTATACAAATTCGCAATAAAAAATTAATTTGTTTTGAGTTAGTTCTTGGCTTATCGGGACCCGGGATTTCATTTGAAGCAAGACGGTGCGATTTATGTATTTATGGAATATCAAAGAAATTATTCATTACCCTCACAAAAATCAATGGCACAATAAGTGGCGCAGTCAACAAACAAACAACGCTACAGTTATATGAATTTATGACAATGCCCTCAGGAAACTGAACTTCAACCCACGGGACTCAGAACACTCTCGTAAGTTGGAGCGGGAACGGGAACGAGAACGAGAACGGAAATGGCAACGGGTACAAAGTTGAGTTTAAGGAAATATGGGTTTGGTCGTTTTACATACCCCTTTTCGTTGCGGGTGTCCTTAACACTCGATTGTGGTTGAAATGTCACTTAAACATATATGTTTCAATCTAGGTGAATATTATTATTGCGAAAGTAAACAAAACGTTGTCTAAATGTGACCTCTAAAGATGGCAGTGTGCGGAAATAAGTCGATATAATTGCAATGTTTCTAACTTATCGATATATTTCGATATTCGCAGGCACAGAGCAATTCTACGCATATGCTTTTAAACGGTCAAAAACTCGACCGATTACATTAACGTAATATATGCTTGATCTATTTATTAACTTAAAAAAGTACATGAAACGAATAATATATTAATTAAGCAATTGCGATAAAGGAATATTTTTCCAAATTTATAAATTAGACCACGGCAACCATGCAATGGCAATGAAACTTTGGAGCTTTCGATAAATAGAACGTCGCGCGGTCGATGATTTTTGTCAGTGTGACCAGACTTTTTCAATATTGTGCGGCAAGCTTAAAGGTCAAATGGCGAACGGATAAAAATAAAATCACGAGAATGATAATAAAATCATTTGATAAAAATAATGAAAAGAAATTAGTAGAGATAGATAACGTATACTAAAGTAGACTCGATATAAATGTATCTCCTGTATTACAAAAATGACCAATAAATATTTGTCCGTGATTTGCATGTGGATAAATTGAATATGTTGTGCAGTTGTTTTAAATGTTTTCTTTCTTTCAAGTTTACTTTATTTTACCAGACTTATATATAGTATATATATATGCGACAATATCGTAGCCAATGTGGTTCCACTGAGCTGTGATTATTGCTGTTTGAATACTTTATTAATGTGTAGAAGCCCTTGAAAATCTCATTGTTTCTTACTTTGTTTTTTGTTTATATTTTGTTTATTTAATTATATGCATATAATAGCTGAAGTCATGTGTAAGCCGCATGCATTTGGAATGTTGTATACCATTCGCATTGTTTATATTATACTTAAACCGTTGCTTATGCTTACCGAAAATAAAATGCGTATTTATTTTATAATAATTAAGATTGTATACTTGAAATTGGGTAAATATGCGTACGTATTTGCTCCTCCCTAGTTTATAGCACAATAGGAGGAGGCGTTCATTCATTTAACTAATATTAGGCGCGTCCACACACACTGATAACCCATTATATATATATATATGCATTTTAAATACATACATATATATTTACATGTACGTAGATGTAAATATATACATACGCACACCGCTTAGAGTATTCACGGTTTTTGTTTTGATTTAAACATTAACTGCATTCTGAAGTGCAGTCTTGTCATCTACAATAATGTTGGCAGCGGCTGTGGTTGTATTGGAGCTGAGCAACTGTTTGGTCGATGAACTGGATGAGTAGCTGTCACTGGAGCTGCGTGTGGACGCCGAATTGCCGCTAACGGGACTGTCCAGCATATCTGCGAAATCAAAGAGATGCACAACTATGTACTCTATTTAATGGAAATGAGCGAGATGTGTGCGAGTGTGTGGCTTACCCGGCAGTGAGCTGACATTGTTGCTCTTTAGTTCGACAACGCCGCTGCAAACAGGCGCTGCTCCACTTGGTCCAACAATATTGCCCACTGATGTGGATTTCTTTTGCAGATTCTGATTCTTTTTCATGGCTGTGCTATAACTCACACCAGCAGCGCTGAGCATGCTCATCTCGCTGTTGGCGTGGCTAGCGACTCCGCAAGTGCCACATAAGGGATCGCCGCTCTTTGCCCGCTCAGCGGGGCACAATGGACTAAGTATGGTGTTTTGTGTGTCTTCGGGTGTATAGTAGTCCGAGTCTTCGGCACTTAAGTTGGCCGCCAATAAACCGGGCTCGTTGGCCGGTGAACCGGCATCCGATAGCTCCGGCCGATGTGATGATCGCTTTAATGAGCTACTCTTTCTGGAGCTTTTGTCTTCCTGTTGGTTAACATCGCCGCTGCCAATGCTGCCGCTGACAGCGGCATCGATGTCATCTCTGTTGGTTACCATATTGTCCTCGTCACCGCTACCGCTAAGGCTCTCCACAACTTGCTTAAGTGATTTGGTGGATGTATGCTTGACACGGCTACCCGGCGATAGCAGCGGTGACAATTTCTCATTCTCGCTATCCTCATCGTCGTCATGATTGCCAGTGCTACGTTTCTGGTACTTGAGCCCATTGTGGCGTTCATTAACAATGTGCATCTCCTGCTTCTCCGGCGAACAGCTGAGTGTTGGCGTTGGCGTTGACGGTGATTTGGGTGAGGTGCAGGTGCTTGGGGTCTTCTTGGGATCATTTTCAATTTCAACAACGGACTGTGTGGAACCAGCGCCAGTTTGGTTGGTCAAAGTGCCCACCTCATTGGTGGTGGTGCAAGTCGAGGCGTTCTTCTTGATCTTGGGCCGGCGTTGGCTACTCGATTTGATTGGTGACGTTGTCTTAATGTCTTCAGTGGTCATCGTTGAGGCGGCTACCGTAGCGCTCTCCGGCGCATCATTCTCACTGGACCTAAGGGATACAAATTTAACATTTGGCTTAGACAAATAACTAACAATTCTTCAATTTGTAACTTAATTGTTATTGTAATTTAATATAAATCAGTGAGCAAAGACAGGTGTTTCCCCTAACTTCAGCATAGCCATAAACTAGCCATAACTTCAAATAGCCATAAATTGATAACAAACCCAATAAGCTATAAGTGGATTTTGGATTACATTAGAAGTGAATCATAAAGTTGCACAAACAAGTGCATCATTATAACAAGTGCACATAATTTATTGGCCAATCTGACGACATTAAGAACACCAGTGATTCCCTAGTGCTGAATTGGATATTCACCATTAAGTCTTAAGTCTACTATTGATTGACTTGGATTAGATCATAAGAGCTTTGTGGTCTAAGGCTTCCGAGATGGGATCAAAAAATGGATCCAGGTTGAAAGGATGAAACAATAATTTATGTTTTTATGTTACCTAAATTGTTATATGTTTAGCTGATTAAAGAAAATTATGATTTCAGTAAGTAAGTTAATCAATTCTATAATAGACAAGATAGAAGATACCCTGAGAGCAGTACTCCTGCTGAAATTAGTTTGTTCAGTATGAAAATACGTACTGGCTAATCAATTCAGCGTTTTTTTTTTCCGATCTTAATGAAATTTTATCAATCGTATATCGGGATATATGGTATATGAGTGTTTGCTTTATCTCCACTATTGCGTCATTTACTGCTTTCCGCAATCATCAAATAAACTTGATTTGCGTATTGCCATTAAGCAGACATTACTATATATAGCCTATTATGGCTTACGAGAACTTATATTCCACATTTTGGATTTCTAGCTAGTTCATACAGACAGACAGATCAAGAATATATATAAATGTGTATATAACTGTTGAAAATGGAGTTCTTGAGCGAAAACCGTGTTTGCTTTCCACATATTTTGACTGCCTTCCAATGAACCTTTTCTTTATAATAAATTAATAAGGGGATAAAATGATTGGCATGGTTGAATATGAATCTTTGGCAATCCGCAGATGGCCGCACATTTTTGTTGGTTTTTCGAATCATACCTGGCACGAGCCACATACTGTGGCGGTCCGTTGAGTGCCTCAATGAGCGAGACGGGTATATAGCCGGGTGGGACATCGAGGGGAGTGTGCTCGCCAGCGGCCGAGGTTGGCGTATTCTGGTGGAGCACATGGGTGCTGATGCCCTTTTGAACGGCACGTATTTGCAAGAGGGCACGGAACGGAGCACGGCAGATGGGGCAGTTGTTGGCCTGGTAGCGTAGAGAGTCGGCACACGAGTTGCAGAGACAGAGATGGCGGCATGGCAGTATGAGTGTGTCCCTTGTCTCGCTCATGCAGATGACACACTCACTGCCATGATCGTCGATATCCTCGTCCAGCGAGGTCTTGTTTACCGCCTTGTTCTCAATGCCATAGATCTCCTGCAGCAGATAGCATAGGCCGTCGACATATATCTTCTGCTTGAGCGCACGCAGCACATAGCTGTTTGTCTCCGGATGATGATCGATAACGCAAATGGTTGTATGCGACTGGCGACACTCGTCGTTGCCCTCATCGACGACACAGTGTATGGCGACCGGGAATTGCTCGCGGCCGGAACTGTAGAGGAGATCATCCTCGGGTATCATCATCGGATTGAATACGTGGCTGGGCTGCGAGAAGAACTGATTGATCCCCTTCTCGTAGTGGTACGTGTCCGATGTGATCGAGTAGCCTTCGCGTGGCGTCATCGTAACACCGCTGGGACTCACATCTTCCGCACAAAAATAGTAAATGGTTATCGAACACTTGGCATCCGAATCGAATATGAATTCAACATTGTAGCAATAATTTGGTAGCGCCGACTCTGAATCATCATCGAGGCTGACCATATTGCAGAGTACATTGCCATCGACCTGCTCGATGGATGCACTGCTGATTTCCTTAGCCTTCTTCTTACGGTTTTCCTTTAACAATTCAACATCTGCGTAGGCTGCCATCTTTTCAAATGGAATGCGGACAAAGCGCACGGATTCCTTACGTATGTTGACCAGACTCTTGAGCGTTTTGGTTGGCTCATTCGCCTGCGGCGGTGGGTAGGGAAAGGCCGTCGGTCGCGTGCCCAGAAAATTGAGATCGACATTTTCGCCAAACAAATAGGATTCGGGCTGGGGCGTGTCAAAGCGCTCACCGCCCATTATAAAATGGGTGCCAAAGAAGCTGCCCATGCGAGGCGGATATTTGTAGGCATTGTTGATGATGTGGTCGGCTTCCTCGACGTCTGCGTTTTGTCTGCTCACAAAGTTACCCATTTATGCACCGTTGGTTGCTGCTGGTTTTTGTTTGCTTTCACCTTGCACTGGCTCCTGTTTTGTTCTATTCTTTTTCTTGCTATTACAACATTCACATATATGTATTTACATTTACATAGGCAGCGACATCGATAACAAATTGCGAAAGCGATGGCGATAACGATTACTAATACTGATACTACTCTTTGCAAGCAAATGCAACCATCACCAACAGTGTGGCAGTCATCTTTAGTAGTACTTGGTATTTTTCTTAATCTTTCATATATTGGTTAATTACTATTCCGCATAATTTGAAGTTGAGCAGAAATAATTGTTTTGCTTTATAATTTCTTTTATTGAGAAATAAAATGCATTTGTAAGGCCTTATTAAGTTGACTGTGATTTATGTCTAGTAATTCCGATGAAGTTTGCAGGCAGAGCTGAAAATAATTTACGGTCACACTTTACAACCGATATGATGAATTCAAAAAACACCTTAGAATTTAAATGTATCATGGAAAATATTACACGATTCATTTGATTTCAACATTTCATTCAAGTTATTAGTTTCTTCAATTTTTTATTTATACTGTCACCAAAATTTTGTTGGTAGGTTGTCGCCCACCTCCGCCGCCCTGCCCTTAAACATTTTTAATGGCTATTTCTTCTTCCCTTTTGAAATTAGAGCCATCAAATTTGGAATGGGCATATTACCACCTCCCCAAATCGATACACTTGTTAGTGTAAATCGATAAGACCACACATCTCATACAATTTGAAAGCTAGAGTCATAAAATTGAGAGGTATATTGGTACACCCTTAAGAAATCCGGAAAAGACGTTGGGACCACGCCCACTGAATGCACTAGCAGTTAGTGCGCTTAAAATTAAGCAGTAGGTTACGGTTTAATTTATTAACATTCTCGTTACTAAATTCAATTAAATATTTGGAAAACTAAACATTAAAATTTATATTACAAATTTAAGTATATCGAATTAAGAAAAATAAAAAAATAAGAATTTATCATGCAAAATATGACTACCCCTTTACAGGTTTTCATTGGGTGAAGAGCTGAATACAGATTTGTGTGAAAATTAATGTCTAAGTTTGAAAAATATCGTCAGCTTTATCCCTCTCAGTAAACACTTTTATATACATACAATACATTTTCATAAAATCAGAAAGTCCTAAATCGACAATCCCATTTCTAAAAAGTATAAATTCGTGCCGAAATCTGAAAATACAAAGGTATTATTAAAATAATAGAAGCAAAAAAAATATAATGTTATATTTTCTGTGTGTAACACATGTAAAAAAAACATTTTGGAAGTTAGATATTTTTTTCTACATTTTAGAAAAATATACACTGAAAAGAAAAACGCTGATTTTTTAGTATATACGCAGGCACCAAAAAGTTAGCGAATTTACACTTGTATTCAGGGCAATTTAATTTCTGAGCTTATATATGAATATTTCGTTTTATTTTTACACAAAATTCCAGTTGAATTCAATGACTTTTTGAGTAAGCCAATAATGCAACCAAAGACTTCTCACATTCGCGGTTGCCAAGCACCGCGTTTGATTGACACTGCAAATATTCCGCGCCATTGTACATTCACACATTCATACATTCATACATTCAAACATACAAATATACATGTTCACTCTGCACAGATATATTCTTATATCAAACGGCTGCCCACTCAAATATGATACGAGGTATTTAATGGCTTTTCACGAGCTCAATTTTGAATTCTTGTCAATCGAATGGGGGCTTCACAAAAAAAAAAATGCTGTACAGTCTTCAATGAATTTTCATTTGCAAAACTCTAGAATGAATCGGCTGAACAACAAAATAGTTGGGTGCAATCATTTGTCGGACATTTTTTGACCTTTGCCACGAAAATGTCAAATTTACTGCACTACACTATTGGTAAGTATTTTTTTGGAAAACGAAAAAAACTTGTTCACACAAAAACTCATAGTTTGCCTCATTGCTTCTCTGAAAGCTAAAGGATATTTTGAGTTCAATCAGGCTGACTTTGTCACTGTGCGGGCCTTTTACTATTTCCAAAGTCGTCCATAATTCATCTGTTTCATTAATATAAATTTGAAGTTGAGTTATTATACAAATAACGTTACAACTTGTTGTCCTACTGTGGAGAGAGAACGACTCCTGCTAGGCCTGATTTAAGTCCAAGCATCGTTTGTGAAAAGTATTTATGAGTTGCATCCATGCATATTGTTCAGATACATATATACATTCGTATTGAGTTATGTATGTAAAAGTGTTCTGTCGATCAGCTAGCAAAAGCTAAAATGGTGTTCAGAACCGAGATGCAACACGCCTCCAGCTACTTGAATGTGCATATTATCAACCCCATTGTAGCTGGCTTACGATACGACTCCTCTCTCTCTCTCTCACACTCACACTCTCTCTCTCTCTCTCCCTCTCCATATCTCTCTCTATCTCTCTCTCTCTCTGACTATGTGTGTGTGTCTTTTTTACGCACCTTTTTCGCTCGCTATTTGCCTCTCTCAGTTTGGCAGTTCGATTTGAAGGGCAGGCGAAAGCTCGCCGAGGAAAAGAGCAATAAGTAACTGGGAAAAGCTGCTCAGAAGCAAGTGCCCAACACTGTGCAGCAAAATCGATACTGATAATAGCATAAAACAATATATGCACTTAATTCAATATATATGTTCAAGTAGAAGTATATAAAATTTAGCATACTTATAAGCATAAAATGCAGACACCAATCAATTTAAAAATATATATTTATTTATACATGAGATTTATAAGACGTTTATAAACTGTACAGTTTGATTTGTTTGTGCCGAAATTGGTATCTGGAATATGTGAAAAGAGTCTTTTTTTAGTTACATTCATATTTAACTTTAATGTTAACACATTTCATTTAATCTATTTATAAAATTTACAATGAAAGCTTTTTCATGAATGCTTTGAGTCAATTATAGTTAAGCAAATGGATTTTACGGTTCTAATGGTGATTGTATTATTGATTAATAGATACGGTCTAAGTGCACAAACTGAACAACTACAATTAAAGTAGATGACTTCAGAATTCGATGTGCATTCATAAATGTGATGCAACTTGAACGTTTCAAAACGTAATTTGCGCAGTTACATTACAGTGTAGGCGTTAATTTTGTCGTTGAGTGTAAACATCGTTTATTCGTAGTACGACGTGGCGACACAACAGTGTGGCAACAGAGGCAGCAGAGGCAGCAGAGGCAACGGAGGCAACAGAGGCAGAAGAGGCAACCGACGCAGCGACGCCTAATGTATAAATACTGAGAGCCAGACGCGTCCGCTTTCATTCTCTTGTAGTGTTTAAAGTGACATGAAAGTGGTGCACTGCAACAAGTCATGTATCAGCATGTCCAACCAAGCAACACAAATCATATTTATGCCGACGGTGAGTGTGGGTGGAACTCTTACTACTACAACTACTGCTTCTGCTACAACTACTTCGACTACTTCAACTACCACTACTGATATGATGTCACTGTAGTCAAGTTCGGCTTTGGCTCTCAATTATCTTCTTTTTTTTTGTTTGCTTGCTTGCAAATTAGTGTGCATATTTTTTTTAGTCGCGTGCTAAGTGCAGTTACAGTTACAGTTACAGTTTACAGTTTACAGTGCAGTTGCAAAAGAGAGTAGAAAATAAATGAGTAAAAATAAATGAAGTCAAACAGTGCGTATGAGCTATATTTGTTTGAGTTGATCCATTGTTAAGCTGTTAAGCTGTTGTCTGGGCAAAGGCGTGCACAAACAAATTATAATATAAATATAACGAAAATACAAGTAAATAAGTAAGTAAAGTAAAAACCCTAAATGGGCTGAGATAATCACAAAACGCCCGAGTCAAAGTGCTAATCGAGCGCATGCGCGAAATACGCCACAAAAAATACCGGGTAAATATTTGGCGGACGAATGTTCGTGCATTGACTGTCTGACAATGTATGTGTGTGAACTCTGTGTGTGTGTGTGTGTGTACTACATAAAATAATGCACATGTACATAAGCCGAATGGTGTGTGTGTGTGTGTGTGTGCCTGTGGAACAGCTGTTTGGTTAAGCCTAATGCAATTGCAAGCGACACGCGATGCGTGCAACAGTGGCAACAACACCCAAAAAACGGGGTCACTGTTTCCGTGCCCTTGCCACAATATATATATTACCACACACACACACACACACACACATACACACATACACACATACACAGAAACTGCTATAAGTACCAGCATCAAAGGCGACAACATGAATTTAAAATTGCACATAAGCTAATGTGTACTTATGTACGTATATATGTATGTATGTATGTGTATGTATGTATGTATGTATGTTATGTACAAATGTGCACATTTATATATGTACAACAAATATGTATGTGTGTGTATGTCTTTCGCAATGTTAATTGTAATGCATTGTGCTTATACATTGCTTTAGCTTCTACGCCGGAATGTTTGTGTGTTCATATGCACAAACATACATACAGACATACGTACAGAGGTGCACAGATGCATGTACATTTAGCCGTGATTTCAGAGCCAACCACTTGCTGTGCAACGTGTTACGCAACAGTTCACAGCAACATTGTTGGCGGCATCAGTCTCAGTGTTTGGCTTCAACTGTACCCCAAAAAGGCAACGAAGGAATTTGTCAACTGCGCAGCGAATATCAAATTGTTCTCGCTCGACTGATTGGCTGACTGACTGACTGATTGACTGACTGATTGACTGGTTGGTTGACTGGTTGACTGATTGATTGGTGTTCGTTGTTAAGTCTGCGCAACTAAATATTTAAACAGTATTTTTATGGCATTTAAATGTTTGCCACGTGCCTGCCACAAGATCGAAAAGTCGATCGTTTTAAAATTTATTTTCAAAAATCTCTGAAAATGCGCCGCCCTGTTTGGCAAATGGCTGTTCAAGATCATCTTCTATTCCAGACAATCTTCAAAGGCGTAATTTGTCCAAATGTGTGCAATTTTAAGATAACGTTGATAGCTGTTTTCATTGCTCCTTAACTATTTTTATATAAATAAATTGTGAAAGGGGCTAAAAAATATTGATTGGCTTTACTTTTTACTTGTGACTTTTTTTATATTATAAGTACGATTTTTTTTTA